TCACCAAAATATTCGAGCATACCGTTGATCGCTACCATCTTTTTACCCTAACACGCGCAATTTAATACTAAACACGAAGCTAGCCTCGCATCATTCACAGAGTATCAGGATATCTGAGTGGTTACACCGATTCCCTAACCCCATGTTCATTCAACGATTATCGAGTTTCAAGTAATACTTAAGGGATTCACGAAAACACAGCACCGCCTCTTGCAACTTGCTGCAACAATCGCTTCTAATGTGATGTAGCGTGGTGCGAGTGGGATGTGAGATTGTTTGTGAGTGAGGATGAGAGGCGAAGAGAAGAGTGTTGAGGAATATTCCTTAGTGACGTGGTGCAGTGCGGTGTGAGTCAGATGTGAGGTTGTTTGTGAGCGAGGATGAGAGGCGAAGAGAAATGTTATAGTGAATGTTCGTTAGTGGTGTGATGTAGTGTGATATGAGTGAGAGGTGATGGATGTTTGTGAGTGAGGATGAGAGTCGAAGAGAAGTGTCGTATGGAATGTTCGTTTGTGATGTGATATAGTGTGGTATGAGTGAGATGTGATGGTTGCCTGTGAGTTAGAACGAAAGGCGAAGAGAAGTATTATAGTGAATTTTCGTTAGTGACGCGATGTAGTGTGTCGTGAGTGAGATTTGATGATTGTTTGTGAATGAGGATGAGAGGCGAAGATAAATCTTATAGCGAATGTTCGTTAGTGATATGGTGTAGCATGGTGTGAGTAAGATGGGATGGCTGCTTGTGGGTGTGGATGAAAGGCGAAGAGAAGTATTATAGTGAATGTTCGTTAGTGATATGATGTAGTGTGGTGTGAGCAAGATGTGATGGTTCTTTGTGAGTTAGGATGATAGGCGAAGAAAAGTGTCTTGACGAATGTTCGTTAGTGATGTGATATACTTTGGTGTGAGTGAGATATCATGGTTGTTTTTGAGTGAGGATGAAAGGCGAAGAGAAGCGTCTTGAGGGATGTTCCTTAGTGATATGATGTAGTGTGGTGTGAGCAAGATGTGATGGCTGTTTGCGAATGAGGATGAGAGGCGAAGAGCAGTGTCGTATGGGATGTCCGTTAGTGATGTGATGTAGTGCGGTGTAAGTGAGATGGGAGGTTGTTTGTGAGTGAGGATGAGAAGCAAAGAGAAGTGTGGTACGGAATGTTCGTTACTGGTGTGATGCAGTGTGGTATGAGTGAGAGGTGATGGTTGTTTGTGAGTGAGGATGGGAGGCGAAGAGAAATGTGATAGTGAATGTTCGTTAGCGATATGATGTAGTGTGAGGATGAGTGAGATGTGATGGTTGCTTGTGAGTGTGGATGAAAGGCGAAGAGAAGTATTATAGTGAATGTTCGTTAGTGACGCGATGTAGTGTGGTATGAGTGAAATGTTATGGTTGTTCGTGAGTGAGGATGAGAAGCAAAGAGAAGTGTGGTATGGAATGTTCGTTAGTGGTGTGATGTAGTGTGGTATGAGTGAGATGTGATGGTTGTTTTTGAGTGAGAATGAGAGGCGAAGAGAAGTGTGTTGAGGAATGTTCGTTAGTGATGTGATGCAGTGTTGTATGAGTGAGATTTCATGGTTGTTTGTGAATGAGGATGAGAGGCGAAGATAAGTGTCTTGACGAATGTTCGTTAGTGATGTGATGTAGTGTGGTGTGAGTAAGATGTGATGGTTGTTTGCGAGTGGGGATGAGAGGCGAAGAGAAGTATAGTAGGGAATGTTCGTTAGTGATATGTTGTAGTGTGGTGTGAGTGAGATGTGATGGTTGTTTGTGAGTGAAGTAGACAGGCGCTTAACCAGCTCTAATGTGTTTATGCGAGATGCATTAAATTGATATCGGAAAACGTATTGCGTTTAAAGATCTTAATGCTTGTTGCATGCTTTTCGAGGGTGAGGGTGATTATTTTTTCAGCGTTGGTTGGGGTTATATTACGAAATAAAAACGTTAAATTGCATAACAGAAAGCTAGAGCACTTATATGTGGTACAGCAGTTTTATGTAGAAATTTGAATCTGCACTTTAGGAAAATATGTACGAGAATCGTTGTTTTGTCTTTTCGTCTGGTGAGACATAGAAGAGGGATCAGTATGTGGTTTTGACACAAGGATGAGTGATGATGGGCTTGTTTATGTCACAAACGGTACTCTTTTTATAGGTGTCAAACACACTGCGGAGTTATGAGCGTTGGTACACAGTAAAAAAAAGCGCAGAATGATAAAGCCTCGAAAAGGGTTGATGGTCGTGACATGAACCTTTTTTTTGGTTTGTGAACGTCATATATCCTCTGAGAAACCTGTGTTTCCCACAAAACTCTGAGGAGGTTTTTTTATACGTTGTATTCTCATAAACCTTTAAGGTAGATGAGCATTCATCTACCCTTAAAAGGCTTATTCATATGTTTATTGGAAGAACGGTAGAAGATAAAAGCGGTTTTATGAATTTAATATACCCTTTTAGGGTATATGAAAGTGCAACGTATAACATACCATTCAAAGCAGTTCATTATTCTGCTCTTTTTTTACAGTGTATCTGGCGATAATGTCTGTTATTTGATGACTTCTGTAAGTAGGGTCTCATGCAGATTTTGTGAAAAGATAAATCTGTCTGTATGGGTATCCGCATACACATGTTGATATATGTGTCGAAAGTTTCTCACATGATCCTCAGTGACATTTTTCGATATGTTTTACATGAAAAGTCGCTGTAGAGTACGACGATAAGATAGAGTTAGAAATGGCAAATGACATGCTGACGGAATCCACTGCACACACAGCGCAGTATTAAAGTGCCAAGGTGCACACACCGTTCAGTCGGCCGAGATGTCAAATTAAACAAACCGTTAGGCGAAGAAAAATGTAAAATTTGATTTTCACAGTAAGTATAGTTTCTTTCGTGAAACACTTCATCTTATTCTATGAAAAAAATTCAGCTTACAAGACCTATTTCAATCAGCATATTAATCACCCTGCGTTGACCATCGTATAGCATTTGAATGACACTTTGCTGTGTTCAGATTACTACCGACGCTCTTCGCGGGAACCCTCAAAATCCATTCTTTTAACAACACCACAATACCAGACAGAATCCAGCGATCAGGAACAGCCTACGAAGCTGATACGATGTGATTATTGAATTATTCCCTCTACTGAAAGGAGTGTAATGCGTCGAGCTGATGTATGTTCGTTCGTTCATTCATGTTGTCTTAAAATATTACCTAACACTAGTTGAAAGTAGTAAGGGTTGACCAAAGGATATTCGAGGTTAGTTTTTTCATGAACACTTTATGGCTCGTTTTTTGAGAGAAGGGATAAATTTCTTTAGACGATAGTGTTTTAAGCGGTAATATGTAGAACAAAATATAATAGCTGACTAACGTCCGATTGCTAGATCTCCATAGTCATCAGCATATTAATGAGATCACGCACTTTTATAAACAGCTATACTATACGAATATTATCTGATGCCGGTCATTCAAAATAATGTTTCGTTTCTCAAGTGTTGTCTTCAAGAGTCACAATAGCAGAAAGATGGTCACTTTTCAAGAGGTAATAAAAGAAAATGAATGGACTATTTTCAAAAGTGGTTCTAGACTAAATGGAAGAGTGAAAACTAGCTTAAAAGTGAGATCTGATTATAAGAATGTCGCACGATGTCCATAATTTTTCGAAGGTATACATATATGATGTCTTTTCGAGCTTCAAGAAAAAACTATGTAGATCACCAACTTATTCAACTAAAAATGATAATAAAAGATATACTGTAGGTCACAAAATTGTGAAGAATTGCGGTAACTTTGCAAGAGACGGACTCAACAAGAACGAGGTACTTCTTAGTATGAAAATATCATTAAACACTTATTAGGTATCAACGGCTAGCCGTGCGTGGCCGATCGCAGAGAGGCCGACAAACGACTAGGCGTTATAATTTCAGAAGATTTCAGGAAGCGAAATTGGACTACGTAAAACATTCTGACAAATTATCAAATGATCAGACCGTTCAACTGAAATAACTTTTTTCTCTCTTTGGACGAATAGTACCGCTCTAATACTATCCTTTCAGTAGAGTATTTAGCGGTTACCAGGCCGCGTTACGTGTAGCTCAATATGCTCTGTCGTTATGACGTACTGCTCAATTTTATTGAATAATTTTTGCGAGGGAAAGTAAACAAATACCGATACGTTATAAAAAAAAACAACAATCAAATCGACCTAGTGTGGAAGATGACTTTTAAATCCATACAAACGCAACTTCAAAATGACTAAAACTTCGGATTCATAGGTTTTTTACATGCTCTTTCATTTACTGTACTCAAAAAGGGGGGGGGGGGAAGAGAGTGGCGTAAAAAGTTTTTGTTTGAAGATCCTATACGAACTTGCTCGATTCAGTCGTGGGCCATCTCTTAAACCTCAAGTCTAACTTCAGTTTTAGACTTTTGCTGCTGTTAAATTCTACTTCTGTAGTACATCAGTGTATGATATCTAACTGGAATACAGTTATTGTTGCTGTTTACTATAAATTGACAAATATTTATTTGTTTTAAGGGTGAATGAAAAAAACGAAAATAACTTGAAAAATATGAGTCATAGCAAGGGCGAAAACCCAGTATCAATGAGGTAAGCAGGAAACAACAGAGCAAAATAGATCAGATTACTTGAGAAAAGGTTGATTTATCTACACTGATACGATAAAAAGAAGATCAAGAATTAAAAATTTGACTAAGCATACATTGTTAATATATATAAGAGTCAGAACAGACTCGGATAAAACATGGCCGTTTTATCATTTAATATCGTATGCAATATAATACGTACATCAAGCACAGAATGAGTTATTGTGGATATGTGAAAGAGCGCAAGTGATGAAAGAAAAGATATTCTTCGTTACTGCAAATCCACTAAAATCATTCAATATATTTCCAATCCAGGAGATACTTTAGGAAAGCAATTAGATGTCAAAGCAAGAAAGCTCTAAGCGTTTTGGAAAGAGATCATTTTACAGTTTTTTTTTCAGAAAATAGAGCATTCATGTTTATTTAACAGAACGTCAATAACCTTCGACACCATACTAATACTGACTATATCTTCATAATTATCATTATTCACATCGATAACACCAAACCAATCACGAGAACGCTGCTCATTCGAATAAACCCTTTGTGCAGAAAATCGATTGTTTCCATATCCAAATAGTACATCGATAGCGTGGGAAGGGTATATATCAATATCAATAACAATATCAATAACAATATCCACATGATTATCATTATTTATATCACTCACAAGAAATTTATCCATTTTTCCAAGTAATTTCACATCGATTTTTTCTTTCCGTCGGAAACTATCATTAAAATAATTATAGACTATATATTCAAGATCTTTCCCATTGTAAAAAACAGCAATATCAGATTGATTGTCACTATCGAAGTCACCAGTTATTACATATTTGATCGTAGGAGTAAAACTGGTGAATAGCGATGTTGGCATTTCAAAAATTCCATCTGCGCTTCCAAGAAAGACGTGGATATGCAAAGATTCAGGACTGTATAGGACAATATCCAGATAACCGTCATTGTTAATATCAATAATACATAATGGCATCGACATCAGCCCGTGTTTCATTAATGAAAATGCCGATGAAAAACTTCCATTATTCTGTCCAAATAGTATATGAACATTCTTAAGCAATGCATAACATACAACGATATCCAACATGTTATTCTTATTAATATCAATCAGTATTAATTCATCTACACTGCCCACAGATGCGATAGATGATACTACAGACTGTGTCTGAAATGTGCCATTACCATAGCCGAATACAATGGCTAACATTGCCGTTTCACCAAGCCATAGTGCTAGGAGCGCATCAAATCGATTATCATTATTCAAGTCAGCAATATTGACATGAGTTATTTGACCAATATCACCAAGCGACAACATCGTTGAATTTTGAAATGTTCCATTGCCGTTTCCTAATAATGTCATTAACTTTCCCTGAATATCATTAATTCCCATTACTAGAAGTATATCAGATCGATCATCATTATTAAAATCAGCTATATTAATAGATTTGACCCGATGAGATCTGGGCAAGACAAAGATCATTGAATCAGAAAATGTTCCATTTCCATTACTTAGCGAGACAACCACTGTCTCATCTTCATCAAATCCGCACGAATATATCAGATCCATTCGTTTATCACCGTTGAAGTCGCCACTTGTCACAGTAAGCCGTTGCACGGTGCGATCCAAACAAGAAATGTTGGTTGACACCAGTCGAAACTTATTTTGACATAATGAATCTAAGAGGGAAAAAATAATTATTTTTGTGATTTATTTTCCCCTTAAAACAGATCTTTCTTCTAAACGGTGTTTATTATCTGACTCAACATTCGAATATATAAAACAAGTGGAATCCTCCTTTAACAATCACATTGACTCTTTCTGGTTGAAATCGTATTCAAATTTCGCGGCCTTGATGATCTTTCATTTAATCAACGAACCGCGGACAGCATAGACTCTACTTTATACGAGAGAGATCTTACTTGTCGTAGTCGAAGATATCGTCACCATTGTACTTGTTATCGTTGTTGTATTCTCATTTCGACCTGTTGTTTTATTCATCACTACAACCGTTCAAGGCAATATCCCGCATCACTATCACAGAAATGAATTTTTCTACCTTTTCTCGCATAATAAACCGAAAATATCGCAATAATAGTCATTAGGAGCATCAGTGTGATAGCTACGAAAATTAATTTGGAACAATACCGAGTCCATGAAATAGTTGTTCGGCTAAATAAAACAAATTCGAACTTAAGCACAGCAAATCAGATGCTCTTAACTCACTTGGATGCTTGAAGATCAGTAGTACAGTCGAAATGATCTGATGTGGTCGAAGGTGAGTGAGCAGGATGAACTGATGTCATGTGTCTTCTACGATAATACTCACGCATTTTGAATGCAGTTCGAATTAGTTTCGGACAAATCCATCTCAGAACTAACGTCAAACCACCCTCAAGACTGAGGAAAAGTGCAATGATGTAAAAGATATTGAACTTTTCAGTGTAAGAATATGAACATGATAAGGGTGAACATCGATGATAGTATTGTGAATAGTTCCTTTGTGTTTTCCATTGTTCAGTAAATGCATGGCCTATCAACTCATCAACAGTTGTATTTGGTAGAAAGTGATTTGATGTAATAAAATGAGGAACAGTAATGTTTGGATAGTTTGTGTATTGATGAAGTAGATCAACACATGATTGATTCTGAAAACATTCGAGAGTTGATAAATGAAAAGATTCACTGGGTAAACATCCTATTCTGAGTCCGATAAGTCCAATTCTTTCTGAAGAATTGTTTTCAATGAAATTTGCTTGGGTTGTACAATGTGGGGATAGTCCACATGAGCAATTATCATCATAGACCATTGCCTCTGTAAATAGATAAAGTTCGGCGGCATCATGAAAGCGAGTAAAATATTGAAAATTAGTTTGATATGTTGTCATAAAAGCATTTCCATGAACCACACTTTGAAAGATGAAGAGAAAACGAGATAAGAGAATTGGAGCATTGGATTCACTTTGTTTGATTGTGATGTTGATACGATGATGAAAGTCTTGTTGAGAGAGAAGTTCAGTAGTGACCAATAGTGACGTAAGAAGTTCATTGATCGCATTGTTAACTGAATCTTGTGAGATTCGACATAATCCTTGAAGATATTGAAGATGAGCAGAAAGGAATCGACGATAATCATTGAATGAATAAGTAGAGAAGTTCAATTTAAGGCCATCTATTATTTTCATGTGCCATTCTTTTTGTACGAACTCACTTGAACAAATCTAGAGATGAATATTCTCATAGACACAGCGATTTTTGTTCAAATCAATTCTGGATCTTTTTCTGCACTTAGTTTTCGAAGAGAAACTCATGATTCTGATTTTTCGACTGATCTCTTTCTTCATAATTTAAACAGATGCTACTATTTTGACTGAATGAAATCGTTCTCTTTGTGATTTTGTTAATAGACTCTAAAAACACGTGCTTATGACCAGTCTTCATATCGAACATATCTGTATGATTTCTGTGTAAAATGAATGAATGAGCTTGATCTTACTGGATGAAATACTGGTGTTATTCCAACAAACGCATTGTATGCTGATGCAATCTGTGAACATAAACATTTGAGTTGATTGCCATGAATTTCTTGTAATATTTCATAAGTATCAAATGAGGGTTGGATGAATGTTGTTGTCACAGTACGTGATTGAATAATTGTATACAAGGTGAGAACGATGAAACTGCTAAGAAATAAGATAACATAGAGACGAGTTGCCCATCGGCCATAGTTTTTAGTTGTGAGTCGATCAACATTGCTACCAAACTCCGATGATACAAATATGTTCAGGTCAAGTAGTTTTGTTGACAAAATTTTGATATCATCATATATGATGATCTTCATTTGAATGAAAAAACTTTGATGGACTAAGCGATATAAGAAAGGAATGAAGAGAAACCGTTGAAAGAAAGAGTTAATCAAAATACTTCGTTGTGGGTGTTGCTGTCTGCCTTTCCTAATCATGACCAATAATCGAATAACCATTTTGATAAGAATAGGTGTGAAAATTCTTAGTGAAACCATCATACCACCAATCATTGATAGTAATGTTATGATCACTCCGAGAAAGTTTTTTGTATGCATTCTTTCAGAATAAGCACAATAAGTAGGTGCACATGCGTTATAGAATGACTCATAAGATATTGAAGAATACCATTGTTCAATCATCATCTCTCTGAATATAGTGGAAATATTTGCTTGCTGAGAGAATCGAGTCGTTGTTGGGTCATAAATCATTGGGACAAGATCAGGTGGATACTCATCCCTAACAGACCAGATTTTTCAATCATACTTTTACGCACACACTCGGAAGCCGCAATTATAAGCGTTATATAGTGGCAGGCAAAATTCGCGAAACAGTTTCTGGCGTGAAATTCTCATTTTTATCCTCTTAAGTTGACAAACACTTAATATTGTTGACTTAGTGGATGTATTCTTTTAAAGCTCTAGCCTTTCATAGAAGATAAAATTTCCATGACTGGAGGAGCATTTCCAATGTATTATCCGTCATTGTGTAAAGCTTATAACTGTGACTTCCGACTGTATGTGCAAGTGCGTCTTTTAACACCCTTGTCTGACAAGAAAAGAGACAATGCATTATTAGTAACATACCACTGAGAAAAAATAGCCAGTAAGAATGGAAAACAAGCGGAATTTTCATACAAACATTCGAGTGATGAAAGTAGAAGAGAATCAACAGCAAGACATCGTTGAATCCAGCCTGGAACGTAATTAAACGAGGCGCTATCAGAAACGGTTCCTTGTGTAAAGAAATATTCATATGCAACAGCTGGAACTTGACAATACGGATCGATAGCACAGATGCATTTGGCCATCGTTGAATTAATTTCTTGAAGTTCATTCAATCGAAAGTAAAACTAAAAAGAGAATTGCAAAAGCGTAGATTTATCTGTTGATTGTAATTAAATGACAAGAACACTACGCGATATGAACGTAAGGATCTGCGAGAGAAAACAACTCATTTAATAGGCATATCAAGGCTTTAGCATGCAAAAGATGTTCAGCGGGAAACTAGCTTAGTATATATTATTTTATCCGACATTAAGGAATGGCGATCATTTTTAACGGTCATAGTTACGACGCTTCTGAATGAGCTGTTTGCTTAGTGAGCACACGTGAAACTCATGTGTTAGGTGTATCATGGTTTAACTGATGATTTATTTGACTAGTGAGATTTGTCTCTGAAAGCCCATTGTGTATATAGCTTTCGTTTGGGTTTGCTCAGGGGATGGAGAGGGAGGAATTCAAGAGAAAATGGTTCTCAATTTGAAAGCGAAAGCAATTCAAGCTCAGGGAGAAAGCAGTAGAAAATCAAAGAGAAAATATTTCAAAACTCAGAGAAAAACAGGATGTATTAAAGCAGAAAGTACCGCATTTTCTAAAAAGCCGTTTGTGTACGATATAGTAAGCAATTCTCTCTATGCCTATACAGAGAATACTATTTTAGCATCGAGAAATACGACAAATATGTTTGTATACAACTTGGTATACCTGCTAACAGAAAAAAGAGTAATGTTTCTAAAATTCTCTGGGAGAAAGACAAGAATACTAGCGAAGGAGAAAACCACTCGTATAAAGACTCACATTCTGTTATTTAGGCAAAACAATATCTCACCTTCATTTGTTGGTTGGCATCTATGTTCTCTGTTAAGACATCAATCATTAAGTTAACGTTAGAAGACGTTCCAATGTCTTCTCTAGCTGGTTCTATATATAGTTGATCCATCTGTAGCCGAAGCTGTAGAACATCTGTCATCACAGCAAAACTATACACTGTCGATCGATAAAACTGATTGAGACTTATATTGATTTGTTTGTTGAGTTCAGTTTCGTTCATCGCAAACGAAACAAGAAATAGCTGAGACAGGTATCGACCTATAGCATCACTGGTCGTCTTGTTGCTCAAGTAACAAAAATCAGACAAAAACTGAAATTGTAAATGTAGACGGTATCGCCAATCATTTAAAGGAAAGTCATTGAGATAACTGTTTAACATGTTGATCCAGCTGTCATGTATGAAACCGCTAGAGCATATTTGATGGAAACGCGGCGATAATGACAAAAAACTTCCATAAGATATTGTCTTTTTCGAACATGGGCATTGAAATGAGTCGGCATAAGAATTTTGTAAAAAATAATAAACTGTGATTGACGGATCTTTTTCTATCATTATCATCACTTCAGTATTCAAAGATGTAAACAAACAAATAGTACAGATTGAACCTAGGATTAGAATCAAATCGAAACATGAGAGTATCAGAATTTTCTGCGTATATTTTGTAAAATTTATGAAACTTTACCAAACAATAAAGTCAGATAAACACGTGTGGCGATCTTCTGTTGTCTAACACCTAATTCTGTTCGATCATTGATATTCTTAAACAAATTCAGTCGTCTCATTGTTTCAACCAGTTTCCACTTCTTGACTCGTTGTTCTATAATGATAACCAGATAAATATTCATGATGTTATACTTAATGTCAATAAATCGTCACCTGTTGAATTGTCATTCCTTTTTTTTAACCAACATTTCCATTTGGTTATGGCATCAACAGAAAATGATACAATGAGACGAAGAACAATGATGAGACCGCCGTAGAGACTGATGAAAATTGTTATCGCATAGACTAATTCTGTTTGTTCTGTTTTCGAATACGAACATGAATATGGAGAACATAGTTGAAAATATTTCTTATAATCAATCTGTCTCGACCAGTTTGTAATGAAAAGAGTATTCAAATATTGATGAATAGGTATTCTTTCATTTTGAGAAGATAAAACCGAATTATTTAGATTGAAATTGAGCTAAAGAGAAAGAAGGTTGGATAGAGAGATGTAAAATAGATGAATACAAACTTGTGTTAATTTTGGAAAAAAATCGAGTAGTAGCTGAAGACATTGCACTTTGTAAAGACAATCTAATGTACTATGGAGAAGCGCATAAAGAGGTGTATATCCTATGAGGAATCCATCGACAACCATTGAATCAGACATTAGATACAATTCATATCTCCTACGTAAATCATCCAGTTCGGATGGTAGTGAACTGAGTGTAGCATTGACCAAAAGTATTGGATCGTCATCCCATAGCACTAATTCATCAAATAATAACAGTAATTCGTACCCTTTCAAAGAAAGATATTTATCCGCTTCATCAGTTGCCAAAATGATGAAGTTTGTATTGAGAGCCGTGATGGAATAATGTCGGTCACTTGTGTTTTTTAGATAATCAAAGAACGTTATCATTTGAGATGTTGCACTATTCTTCAAATGTTCAATCGTTCCATAAATTTCTCTCTCAATTTGCTTTTCAGAAAGAAGATAAAGATTGACAAGTTCAGTGTTATTCACATCAATCAGAATCTGGGAAATGATTTGTTTTGAAAGAGAACAAAATCTTGACAGCAATTCAAACTAAAACAAACAGATTTGAATGGGAATGAAATTAGTGACGCTGATTACTTGTGAATATGCTGTTGTTCGAAAATCCCACACACCATATTCACTTGCATTTTCAAAATACAACTTTGTCACCCATTCTCGACTGATGAAAACACTTGAACATATTGGATGTGTTGTGACATTATTTACAGTAACATTTTGATATGGAATTGTGATAGTTGAACATGGGCACATGAGTGTTTGATGATGTTTATGGTAAAGTTTAATGTATGTAGAAAGTGTTATGTTCGATATGACAATTGTTGTTGAATTCGTTTTGATTAGAGTGATGTAGAATAAAATATAAAAACAAACTGAAACAAAGAAATGCTTTTGTCATCATCGTGAGAGTACTAAGATGCAAAATATTCCCATCCGTATCATCATTCACACACCAACACCATCATCCTCACTGGCAACGTGTAACGATTCCAAAAGGTATAACAAAAAGAATAAGGTAATAATTACCTATAAAAAGAAGAATATAAAGCCAAGTTTTATATTTTTGATATTTCACAATCAAATGTGGATCTGGAGGGTGTTCAACATCATCATTGTATTCATCTTCTTTCAACATAAAAAGGTTATAATTGATTCCTTTGTTGTAAATCCATGTAATGAAACTTTTCAAATTCATTTGAATAGTTTGAGAAGTTGGTTTCGAGAGTTGACTAAAAAAACGTGTAGTATTTGTCAATGCGAAGCTAGCATGAAGGAGCTATCACGAACAAATGATGTGTTAGCTAAAATGGTTTTTACTAAATAAGCCTCATCTCTGAAAATTATACGAATTGACTCAAAAGTTAAATTCTGAGTCAAATCGTATAATTTTTAGAGGCGGGACTTATTTAGTAAAAACTTTTTAGCTAACGTGTTGTTTGTTCGTGCTAGCTTCACACTGATGCAGTATTTTCTCTAAAAGTACGGCAATGGTGTTAAATATGCATACGACAAAGATTATAGTTGGGAATCAAATGAAAATATAAAATGCAATTCCAATGGAAAAACATCGAGGCTTTAATAGTTTGTTTTCGGGCATTTTGACATCTTCATTAGTCTTTTTCAAATAGAACATTTCCCTTGTGTATCCAATGTTTTTATCAGGATTTACGTCATGCTCATATGAGAAACATTGGCTCTGCACTATTTGGCAACGCCTTTGCTTAGACATAGTTTAGAAAATTTTTGTTGTTGTTTTACAGTATAGAAAAACATGTTTTATAATCCAAATAAAACAAATCTGATAAGTTCATTTTCTTCTTTCTAGATAACATGTAGGTACTTAAACATATGACGTAGGATACCTTCGGGGAGGATTCGACCTTTTTTTGAGCGGATTCGTTGCAGTGTAGGTTCCAATCAAACTAATACTGGTTCCAACGACAACTTGATAAGCTCTACCGATTCCGAAAATAAAATTTCCAAAAATGTTCTTTCTTCACCCTCAAAAACTCTCAGAAAAAAAAACAAAACTAGAGTAAAACCGGGGCGGATTCGTTTTACAACCACTAATCGCGATTTTAACACTGGCTCCATATCGAACTCGACGAGCTGTATCGGTTCCAGTCATAAAAATTTTCCACCCCACTCACACCCTTACCCTCATGTACGTGTTGGAGGGGAAGACTGATAATGTAAACTGATTTCTATACAGATCTTATGACAATCACAGAGATAAAAGATCTACGCCCTTGAGACTCGTCATAAAATAACGAGAAAGACTTCAGAAATAATGTGTTCTACTGGAACTCAAAATCAATTAAAAGAATAATGGTTAGTTTTTAGGAATGTTTGCGTCACATATTTTTGTACAATGAATATATGCCGCTTCGTGATTGACTTGTCTCATTTGCAAAAAAGCGAAGGTTAAGAAATCAGTAAGGGGATATTCTCTTAAAGTCGTTAAAAAACAGAAATCAACAACAAATACACGAGTCAAGTTTGTACAATAGATTTATAAAAAGAAACAATATCATTATCTCATATATAAGAAAACGTCGTGAGATTCAAAATTAGACACATTACACTTCGAAGCGGATATTTTCTCGTTCCACAAGAGTCGATGAAGGCAGAATTCGTGCAGGACTTGAAAAAGTATCACCACGACCAAACGATGAGATGATTGGCGGAGGTGGAGAAATAAATGTTCGATACTTTGGCGTTTGAATATTCTCTCCTTGACTAATACCTGGTGGTACATCAACTAGAGACGACGACGTCGTCGATGACAAAGTCGTTGTTTTCTCTTCAAATTGTCTTAACCTCGTCATTAGTTCACTAAATGTCGGTCGCTGTTCACTGAGTTCTTCCCAACACGAACACATCAATGCATAGATACGTTTTGGACAATTGACTGGACATGTTAATAATTTTCTGTCTCGGATCATTTCAATAACTTCAGGATTGGTTCGGCCTTGATAAGGCTGAATACCATAAGAAAACATCTCCCAAAGTAAAACACCGAATGACCAAACATCCGACATTTCGGTATAGATACCGGACATCAACGATTCAATAGCCATCCATCGAACGGGTAATGATCGATTTGCGATTTTGTAATAATCGGAATCATATTTTGGTCGATAACGAGCAATATTCGAAATTTTGATATCCATATGTTCAGAAATAAGGATGTTCTTCGCAGATAAATCATTGTGAACAAAATTTTTTTCTGTTAAATAAATCATTCCCGATAGGATTTGTATAGAAATATACAGAAAATCTGTTAGATCACGTTGGTGATACGATGAAGACGTTGTTGTCGAACGTTGTAGTAAATACTCATGTAAGTCTCCATCATTCAAACGTTCATAAACCATTACCGAAGCAGCATCTTGAGGTTGAACACAAATGCCAAGTAAACACGAGATATTCACATGACGAATATGACGAAAAACTTCAAAAGAAAGACAATAGACTATCGGAGGAAACATTGTCAAGTCATACTTTCGATTTCTCGTGCGTATTCTTCTCGATTCTGTGGTGTGGCATGTTCAGTCTGTAATGTTTTGACAATACACTTCGTTGAACTATCAACTAATTCACCTTTATAAATTCGACCGAATTCTCCTGAAAAGAATTTCATACATAATGCAATCTTTACTAACAAAGAGATTCTCTACCTTCGCCAAGTTCTTGCAGGAAGCGGATATTTGTAAATGGAATCTCAGCCAATGCGTTTCCGGGCGAGGATAAATACATCAGTGGACGTTTGACTTCATTTTTCAGTAAACTTTGTCGAAGATATGTATTAGTAAAATTCGTATTCGAAGATGAAGACGATGATGGAAGAAGCTGTCGTGAATTTTGTTTCAAATGATTCGGCACGATAGATGAACGAAAGGGTGATGATGTAACAGTATTTACAATATGCGATGATTTTTTGATTGGTGTCGATGTCGAAGAACAAGATGATAAATGACTTTTGTTATTTCGGTGTCGACAACACCAGCACATGAAGATCAGAAGAAAACATATAACACCGACAGGTATTAGAATGCTGAGAAGAACAATTAGGAGCGAAATTGATGTGGATGGCCGACGACTAATTGAATTCGTATTTGATGATTTCGTACCTTAACAGAAAAGAACAAAAATTGATCATTAACAACATAAAACAGTCTTCGTACTTTATAATTAAATCGAATTTATAGGTTTCAACATATACAATTACTATCGGTAGAAGTCGAACGTATTGAAAAGAACCCTCTTATTACACCTGAATAACTGCAAGGCTTTTCTTTGTATTTCAAGGATAGTTTACGATTCAAATTTATGAGAAACTATTCATTCTCTTCTGCACGACACCTTCTATCATGTTTATCTATGCATCGATTGGTCTTACCATTTTGACGATTGAGTAGTTTTTGATCAAAATCAATACACGATAAATCATCACTCGTCGGCGGTAGGTTTTCGCATGTTGGCATATTTTGTAAAATTTGCACTGAAATTCAATGAATTATTCAATATTTTCACGAAGAGTTTTAGCATTTGTATGACTTACAATTTGAATATGAATGTTGTTGATAAGTGAATAGATTTGCACATGCATGATTTTGAAAATAATCACACGAACGACGGCAGATTGAACGGATATTTAATCGATCATTATCGCAAACTGGATATGTAAATGAGCAAACCATTGGTAATAGTAATTGTCGACATTCGTTGGAGAGAAATTGATTATTTGTTAAATATTTGAGATTTTCAATTAGATTTCGTTCGATATCTTTCTGATTCGATGTCGATAAGGAAACATATTGTGAACCAATGACTGAACGACAAATTTGACCTGAATACAATTCGCATTTCAGTTTCGAAATCGAAACATCGTTGGGAGAAATGATCTCAGGTTGAAATTCGATCGGTGGTAACCTAAAGCAAGCAAGAGTTCTTCTTCTTCTTCTGCTTCGATTTTCCAAATCAATGATACTTACGAATCATCTAATATATCAAGATTATCCATATCCACTAGAAGTACAAAACAGCAACAATGATGAGGAAAAAGAAAAATCTTTCGTTAATTACCTGGATTTTTCACTCGGACAAATCCAGTTGAAGATAATGTTTGAAAACCGTTTGATACTTCACATGTATAAAAGCCGGCTTCTGCTTCTTTCAAATTATTCAATCGAATGCTAGAAGTAATAAGTCAATAAGAAAATATTTTTGTTTATTCTTATCTATCTCATATTACCTCGATCGGAATGCACTTTGATCAATCGTAAAGCGATTCTTTTCAAGCGGATTATTATATCTATACCAATTGAATGATACTGGATATGATGACTGAACTTGACATTCCAAAATGACTGTACTACCACNTAAATGCGAGTGTTATATAGCATCTGGTCGTCCCCATTGATGATCGATTTCAATAATCGATTCAGTCTGTATCGTTCGAAATGATTGCGTGATATGATATATGTCAAGTGCTACGATCTACGCACCTTTTCTATAGTGTCTCGAGATGATAATATGATGTTAGCAGTATCAAGTCTTTTTATTCTGCTTTTTCTTTCATTCTCTCTCTCTCCCTCTTTCTTTCTCTATTGTATGTACATATATATTATTATTATTGTTAGACGGGTAGACAATTGAATGATGCTCGAAGCCAGTATTTTTTGTTCACGCGTGCACACGCTCTCTTTCCCTTTCTTGATTGAAACGAAAAAGCTGTGAGAATCGGCTTTCTTTCCTTACCATGTCTTATAACGATAATCCATTTTCACACACATATTATCGCTAACAAGGAATTTGTCATCAGCTTTAAAAATAACAACAATATTATTAGAGATTTTTCCCCAATAACAATTACACGTTCTCACCTCAATCTACTGTGACTAAATAGAATATTAATGAATCTAACGATATTATGTAAGTAGGAAAGATTATGATGATCACACATATGTCGATGGTTATCGGACAGAACAATGAAGATTCAGATGTATTTATAAGTATTGTCTCTGGAGATAGACATAGGAATATATGAAAGCCACGTTAAATAAACGTTCGATTTGATTCGCACGTCTTTTGTTTGTCTTGCTGCTCTATTCAATATTAGTTTATCTCGATAGTCATCAGTGAGATATCTATGCAAGGCAAAACTTGTTCAATCAGAAGATATGTCAGCAATCATCTTCGTCATGATGATTTGATCATCACTATCGCCGCGCGGTGTGTCTTGTCAGGACGATGTTATTAAAAATATTCGATTCATACAACTCATCAATCGTACTGGCCGATTTCTTTTCTTTTTTCATCTTAGTTTATTCATGACAGCCCACTGTTTTTCTTCATCAATTGAACTTGTCTTGATTATATATAGTTCGAAAAAAAAAGAAAAGCTTCATGGCTCGGTTTGTTTATTTAATCTAAGCAAAAAAAAACAGAAAAAATTTTCTTTTCGTTTTTGCCCTGAAGGGTTAAATATTAGTCTTATCATTTGTCAAATTAAGGCAACAGATGTTAGCTCGTGAAAGTGATGGGTCAGTCTCTTTGCAACAGACGACCGACAAGTTAAGTACTCATGTTGCTTTGCTTACTCTTGTCTTTGTTTTTTAAGTAGACAGCTGCATAAAGACTAACTTCAATTGATGCATGTTCATCACCAATAAAATTCTATCCTAATTCGATCATGTGATACAATTCGAAAAGCAAAGTTATGATTACCAAGAAAATTTTCTTTTTTTTTTTCGACAAACGATAATCACACGTCTTATGTACAACACTTAAATGATCATACGGAGAGACGAAGCGTTCCTTTGCTCATTTACCGCCTGCTGAGCAAAGATAATCCAGACATGAAGGGAAGAAAAGTACACAGTAATCACAGTGCTCTAGTCAATGTGATTATCATAATTTACAAATGTACTGTTCAAATAATCCCGAAGGAAAATCCATTTCTTCTAAGAGAAGATTGCTTTCAAAGAGCATGTAATGCAAATATACAATTACAAAGCAAAATTTTCGGCTTTATTCGATGTGTACTGTTGATGAGCGATACCATTCGTATGTGAATTTTGTTATTGATCAAGACACCTGAGGAATAGTAAAGAACACAATGAGAGAAACAGTAGTCGAAACAGACGAAGTCAAGTAGTATTTTCTGCTGATCAAACAGTACAAATAAGCAATTGTCTATTTATTATGACAGACGGAAAGATCTTACTTGAAGCATTGACATCCTCAGATTTCGAAGTATCAATTCATGAAAAGAAACGAACAGATGCGAAAGCAACAAAAACAGTCATAGAAAATAAACAACAATTGGGTGAACAACTTGATGTAGACGCTACCAACAAGAAAAATGATGATAGAGAATCCTTTTTAACTATTTGTAAAAGTATGCCAAGTGATCAACAAAAGAAAGTTATTGAAATATTGAAACAATCTGGTCTGGGTGATCCACTAACAAAAGAAAGCATTGTACAAGATGCTTTTACTGTCAATACAGCGATTCGAGAAAACGCATAGTATAATGTTGTGAATTTTCTCATTTTTATTTTAACATATTAAACTAGCCGACACAAAAGTAATGATTTATTATTTTCTCATGCGTGCATGATAGACTAAAACTGAATACAATAACTTCTTAAACTTATCTCGTCCTACTTTATACAGCAAAAGAAACTGCATTCGAACTTTTTTGAGCTAGTTATTTAATGTAGCAACAAAAGACTAAAATACAAGCCAAGTCGTTGATAAAAATCGTGATTTATAAAAACTATAGAACATTTCAACAAATAACAGCATAATCTACGCTTACGGCCATACCACGTTGAATACACCAGTTCTCGTCCGATCACTGAAGTTAAGCAACGTCGGGCTCGGTTAGTACTTGGATGGGTGACCGCCTGGGAATACCGAGTGTCGTAAGCTTTTTATTGTCTCTCATCTTTATTCTTTATTGGTCAGATGTTGATGAGATTCAGTTCTCGCCAAGATTTTGAATGCGAAGATTTTTTGCGTATTGTGATATTTAGTTCGAAATGAACGCCAATTATGGAATTTCACATAACTGATCTGGAGACTGAAAAGTTATCATGTGCTCAAACTGATCGGGATGACTTTATTCTTTCCGACTATTAGGAATTTTTTTGTCATGTTCACTTTAGACAAAAGCTAAATTATAGCTACGCGGTGATCGACAATAGCGCATAGCAAATGAACAAATGCTTACGGCCATACCACGTTGAATACACCAGTTCTCGTCCGATCACTGAAGTTAAGCAACGTCGGGCTCGGTTAGTACTTGGATGGGTGACCGCCTGGGAATACCGAGTGTCGTAAGCTTTTTGCTCCTTTTTTCGAAACTATAACCAAAAGATTTCGTAGATCAAGACTAGTAACAGTATAACTCATGCGACATTTATGTGATTTCGTTTGTCGCGGATACTTGAGAAATCTTAGCGAATAAGGATAGTTATGAATACATGAGTCATGGTTTTTGTGCTAAATGCATTTGACAATAGATATTTAATGGAAACAAGCGATTGTTGTACTTACAAAACCAACAATACAAACTCACATGAATTAGCAGATATTTTCATTTGTTTAGCCATAATATAGTGAAAAACATCCATTTAATAGAAAGAAGTCTTTTGAGGAAGTGCAATTTCTGCTTATCAATTATAATTATAAATAGCACAAGAAAAATATTCAATTTTCCGGAAAACAAACATTAGTTCGATGCACAAAGATCAATTGGATGGCAATGAGTGCTTGCTCTCAATTTATTTTTCTTCTACAAAAATCAATAGCAAATAGAAAAAGACAATCTAATGCTTGCTTAACCAATCGGTAATAAATTTGCCAATGAAAATTCGGGTGTGCCCGGGTCCGGTCCAAGTCTCATTCCCAAATAAATCACTAACGGGACAAAACCAAAATAAATCGCATATGGAGTATAGCCGAATACCGATTGAAGACGTCGTTTGATATGATCAGATTTCTTGTCAGTACGAGAAGCTGCATTCGGTGATCTCGTGAGCATGGTTTGATTCTTGAAAAATCTACAAGGCAGCAATACAAGTCAAAGTTTTGTTTCGTGTCCGATTGAAACATGGAAGTACTTTTGTTTTGTATTCTCTTGATTTTTATTCCAACAAAAAGAAAAAAGAAATAGGTAGTAATAGTTCAGCACAACAAAAAAGTACGAATTAAAAAAATGACAACAATCAAAGATGGATCATGAAGCGAAGGAGAGAGAAAGAGACAAAAAAGAAACGAAAAGACCAACGAATGTATGTGTGTGTAATATATAAAAAATGAGAGAAGAAAAACAAATGAAAGTATAAGAAAGGTTCCACAAACATAGTGACAAGCGTTTGGTTTATTAGTTAGAAGAAGATCTGCGCGCCAAATTGCCTGTTTTATTTGAAGGTACAAAATATGGAGAGAGCGACTCCACCGGAAAGTTGTGCTCTTTCTCGAATCATGTCATTTGTTAGTTTTTTTCTTCATGGTCTGATATAACGATGATCATGATGATAGAATAAAAAATAAATAAACAAAAAATATAATCGAATATCAAAAAGAAAACGCAGAAGAATGTGTTGATGATGAACAGGTTAAATAATGACACCAATAACAATAACAACGCTGAGAGAATGCTGCCCACTAGAGAGATATGACAAAAGAAAAGAAAACAAAAGCTGAGATGAATGAATAGAGAAAACTCATACAAAATAAAACTTGTGTACAAAATAAACGGAAAAAAAAAGCGAACACATAGAAACAAATAAGATGAAAACAAAAATCATCCAATGAATCTTCTTTTTTTTCAATTAAAGAAGAAGAAAAAGTTTCAAGATATTATCATTCACCAAGCACAGATAATCATCTTTTAGGAAAGAAAGAGAAACACCACCATACATCATATTCGACTTATAAGCCAATATATATATATGAAGAAAGATTGCACGAAAGAAAACCGAAAAGGATCAAAGACGCGCTAGATAAATTTAGGTTTTTCTAAAGTATTTATCAGAGAGAGAAAGAAAAACACAAATAAGTACGAGATCATCCAACGACTTATCTCCCACAATGAAAGAAATGAGAAAGAAAAGACTAACAACATTTATTCGAAATGCGCTAGGTCTTACGGAAATAAATCAAGAAAGAACATATGCGCAAAAAAGTGTTCACAAGAAGTTAGATAGAGAGAGAGCAAACAAAAAAATGAAATTTACACAAAAACAAGAGTAGAAAAATCATGTGTTACAACATAGGAAAATAAACAAAAAAAAAAGAAAACAAGAATGATAATAATCAAATAACAACATTGACAAAAGAAAACAGAAAGAAACAATCGATTTAGTCATCTAGGATAGATAGATTTCTTTTTTTTTACCAACGAAATGGTAATGTGCGTGGACGATCAGCTCCTTCTTTAACCAGTGGTTTGTGATATTCACGACCGGCGCGTGCATGAATAGATGCCCAACATGTTTCACAATAATATTGTAAACATGTTACATTAGCACAGAAGAATGGAGCAAATTTGCCACCGCAACGTGCACCAGCACATTCATCGCATAATTGGTCATCGAGAACATATGGTTTAACTTCCACCTAAACAAATCAAATTAGCACTGTTCAGCTAAAAAAGCAATCTCAACTGTCTCGAAGAGAATACTAATGAGTGTGTCGTAGTACTAACAGTGAAAATCTCAAGGCGTCATTTACTTATTATTTTTTCTGTGCGTGTTTAAAAGGTCTCGTCAAGTATTTATTCATTATCTATTCAATGCGTTAGCGTGCAAGTTAATTAACACAATTGTTCTCTTGAAGTATCTAGTCGAACAGACAATATAATTCAACAAGATGGCATCTCATTACGAAGAAAAGGTTATTAAGTTCAGCGCTACAAACACTTTCTCGACCACAAAGAAAAGAACTTGTCAAACGCTAATTAGAAGGCATAAAACATACTCGTTTATCAATCTCTCCATGTTGTAGTTGTACAAAACGAGCCGATATAGCTGCAATGTAGCTTTGTTGATTGGAAAATGCGACACGACCGGCACCTTTTGGATATTTCAATTCAGGATCCGTATCAATACCGGCATAGCAGACGCCACCATATAAGCGATCCATAATCATCGCTAGTTCGACTAAAATGAACAGAAACCTTCTAGTTACGAAACAGAAAAATTCGAAGTATTTTACCAGCTCGCAATGGTCGAGGAACACCACCGACAAAAATGGTTTTTCTTGGATCTAATGGTTGCGAACCATCCATAACGAAGTCCGAATCAGCTAAAAGCCATGGGCGTATTTGTACAGCTTTGTCTTTCATACTTGGACTCGAAACACACATATAAAGTTTGGAATCATCGATAACACATTCGTCGATGAGTTCTTGTACTGAACGTTCATAGGTAAAAATTAGAAAGGCATAACCTTTTGGAGGAAAATAAGATTTGCTCTCTTGTTTGTGTGGCCAGTCAACAATCAAAGGGCCAAAGCGTTGAAAATGAGCAATGATTTCCTCTAAATAATCAATTAATCATATTTCCATAAGAACAAATTCATATTCAAGACATATTTACCTTCATCAATATCCGGTGGCAAACCCCCAACGAAAACTTTACGTGAAAAACGTTCTTCTTTATTCATATCCATTGACATTGCACGTGGTGAACCAAATAGGCCAGCCGACGATGATGATGGGCCGCCGCAACCGCCGCCAACCGATATTAAACTTTCGGTATCAAGTATACTTCCCATTCCACTATCATCACTATAAACACGTTTGACACCATCGCTTGAAACATTTCTCATCATGTCCATGATTTGTTGAAACGAACTCATATCATACGCATCAGCTGACTAAAACATAACCGTCAATGGAGAAAAGGAAAGCATCACTGAGAATTGATTCTTACATTCATCGCTGGAAAGTTTTGATCAACATCATTTCCATTCATATGTGGTGGTGGTGGAGGTGGTGATTGTCCGTTTTGTGTCGGAATAAAATTTGTCATGGCAGGTGCGCGTTGAAGTTGATTTGATAACGATTGAATGTTGTTGTACTTATTTTGATTTGTTATTGATGTTGACGACGCTGGGAGAAATGGAAAGAAATTATTTTGCGCATTTAATGATGAAGTTTTCTTTGTTTGAGACATTGGATGATTACCATTACCAAGCATCAAGTTTTGACTCAAATTATTTGCTGTTGCACTACCGTTTCCAATTGGATTTGTTAATGATGGCACTGGGCGACGAGACCTGTAGATTTGCGTAAATAAGGAAACAATTCAAAACATCGATGAAGTGAAGAGAAATTCAACTTACGATGTTGCTGGAAACCCATGCGGAATTGATGTGTTATTCCATGAAGGTGATGGTGGTTGTTGTTGATGCATATGCGATGGCGGCATCGAGAGATTCGTTTGTGGATATTGACTGTTCCACAGTGGAGATGGTATTGCCCCACGTCCATTTAGCGATGGAGCTGCTTGAGTCGGTGGAGCTGAAATACCATTGCGAAGTGTTTGATTTGAAAAATTATGTGAAGCTGTTATCGGTCTCCTCTGTATTGCCTAGGAAGAAAGAGTTCAATTGATGTTTCTTATACAATATATGATTTACTTGTTGATAAGACAGTTGTTGTTGTTGTTGCTGCTGCTGCTGCATGGCCATAAGTGGTGGTGGTGGCGGCGTTGTCGTCTGTGGCGAGAACATTCGACCACTATTGTGTACATCAAATGGGTGATCACCGGAAGCACCACTCAGTGGGTCAATACCATTGCTCCATGATGAACCTTGGAATGTAGCCTGAAGATCAGGAAGTACACCGTTTTGATAAGAATTTATTGGTAATTTTCCATCATTAAGAATTCCATTTCCATTGCCGTTCATTTGTTGTTGTTGATGATGATGATGATCAGTACCATTGACTGTAACTGGCGATGATGACGTTGGCGTTGTCGATGGACTATTGCTTGTATTTGCATTAAGTAGAAGTTTCGATGTCAAGCTTTCGGTACTCATTGGATTATACGAATACCAGCCCGATGAGAGGAAAGACCTGAAATACGACAGGACAGATTTTAAACCACGTTCAAGATGGATTAAGAAAATAATATAGAGTGAAAATAGAATGGGTAAACGACAAATACCTGGTGGAAATCGTCGGTGCTGCGGCAGCTGATCCAGCCGTAGCCAAGGAATACATTATTATAATAAGAGATGTGGTTACAAAAAAACGGTTTTCTCAAAAAAGATTACTGCTAGAAATTGTCTTTGATTATCAATTTGGCGCGCGCGTGTTGTTTCGAATTCTTAATGAATTTCTTTTGTTTTTAGGTTACTAAGAAGGTCACAAATGATTATTTTAAGCTAAAGACAAAATCTGACAACAAAGTGAGAAATCATTTCAACCGACATATACGACGACAAATAGTAGAGAGTCTTGTGCATACGTATGCATGCACGCTACACAATCATAAGAGAGTGAAAGAGAGCGATTGAACTACGACGACAACATTGTTTGCACACGCGTCTCGTCGACGGGTTTTTTCTCTTCCGAGAGTAAGAAAAAGAAGAAAAAGAAGAAGAAGAAAAAGATGTTCTCTATGAATGACAATCAAAGCAAGAGAGAGAGAGAGAGAGAGCAGGAGAAAAAATAGTTGTTGAACGTGCATATAACATTGATGACCTACTCTCACTCACCATCTATATATAAGGATCATATAGCAGAGTAATCGACGCAGCATCGATACTGATTGCCATCCTTCTACCTCTGCCGAGTTTTCTACTCGTTGCTTTTCAATCAATAACATACAATGATACTTCCTATTTCATTTCTATGTGCTATTTCGTGCTTCATTTGATGCCAGCATCATCAATGCCGTTCGTCACTATATAAAATGCATTCTTTCTCTCTTCGAGTCATTTACTTTCAATGTACGCACATAAAATATTCAGAGAGGGAAGAACCTAATGAATAAAAACGAACACACTGCAAGAAAGAAAAGAATTTCTGATCAGCTGTTAGGAAACATAATTCTTTTTCATTTTATTTCCCGAATGCATTAAACAGAGTTACCCATCTGGTCATTTTACTCTTACTTCTTATCCACTTTTGTTTTTACTAATTACGAACTCTTCCTGACATAAGTTATCGCATGAATTCCGTAGAAAAGAAAATATCAGCAGTGAATCCGATGGTTCCATTTGTCGCGCTTAATAGCTTTCTCTAGACTCGATTAATCACCCTTGCTTACCTTTAATAATCAATCAAATATAAGAGGACTAGAACAATTGCTGCCAATTGATTGGATAAAACCAGTGCACAAAAATAAAAAATATTTCAATCTAAAACACAAAATAAAAAGGACTACTGTTGTAATTTTATTATTATTATTATTATTAATCTTGTTTACGAATGAAGATCAATGATATAAAAATCTGTCAGCCATAATATTGATATAAATATCTTGGAGGCACAAAAAAGAAACGAAAGAAGAAAGTGAGAGTGAAAGTGAGACAAAGAAAAACACATCTAAACGTTTTTGATGATTCTAAAATATTCGACTGTTCAAAAGAAAAAGCTTTTTTTGCAAACAATAGAATTCATTCCCTGATACCCGTGTATGACTAAATTGTATAAGATAAAGAGAAAAACACAAGAAGAAAATGAAGCAGAAGCGAATCTCACTGTTATACGTACAAAATATAATATGTATATATGTATATGTATATAGATATCACTTAGGAACACAAAAAAACAACAACAACAACAAATATGATATTTTGTTTGTTTTCTTGACCGCTCCGCACGCATTTGCACTACTAATCTACTTGAAGTACTTTTATATTTAGAAAAAAAACGAGAGTGAAAAGTAAGTGAATTCTTATTTTCTGTAGCTGTGACTATCATCGAATATTGGTATCGAATGCATAGTGTTGCGGACGTATATAGTGATAATTGACTTGTTCATTATCAATAACATTATCATAAAACGACGAAGATCGTTTTAACTTTTCATAATCATCATCATCATGGATGAATGATGTGGTTATCATGTGAGAAATTTGCACATGTTCATCATCATCGATAATATCACTTTTTGAACTAATTGTATCATCATCATCACCAAAATGACCTGGCCGTCGTCGATATCCACTTAGGGATTGATCAGCACTGGATAACACTGTACAACTATCGTATTCAGTTAAGAATTGTTGATCAGGGATTTGAAATGGTTTCGTTAAACGTTTTATTTCCATATATTGCGTTTCGATTGATGTATCACGTAAATTCACCATCGATGGTGAGTCTTCATCAGCCGTTGCTAATGGCGCAAGAGATGTAACAAGAAAAGTTTCTGTCACAGGTACTGGTGTACTTTTCGGTGACATTTGACTTGTAATGAGTCGTGGTGATGTCATTGATTTATTGGGCGTTGAGATAACTGCTTCTAAAACAAAAAATCATTACGTATGTGAGAACATCTACGAGTAATGATGCTTCAGTCTTTCAACAGAAGAAATTATAGATTGATAAGTCTATATTAATGACCTGTCATCCTTGTCTATCAAAATTTTTTCGATTGTCTTCGAAGACAAACTTTTGATAAACTTGATTAAACGAATTATTATACTGTTGACAACGGATCGTAAACTTTCTGCTTATCGCGAAGGTCAAGAGTTGAATTCCTCTAGACTTACTTGTTTCTTCTGAATTGGCATTCTTATTCGAGTTATTATCTGTAAATTTGGTAATGTCTCCCATTGAGATATTGAATGGTTTTGTCGGGATTTCGTTTTCAGTTGGCGATGGCAATGTCAATAAGTTGTTTTGTTTTAATTTTTCATAGCAAACAACATATTCTTCAATAATTTCATCGATGGTTAACGATGAATTGGCAAAATTTGTACACAGCTCATTTTTTAAAAATGAATTTATACTATCAAATGTTTTTAAATGCAACAGTTTCTTTCGATGAATGCGCAGAATACAAAATGCTGTTGTTAGGAGAACCTGTTCACCATCTAGTACAAATATATCCCATATGCGAAGCGTTAACGGGAATGGTAGACAATCTAAAATCGAATTCAGTACTAATCAGCAGATCACGATCGATATTTAGTCATCTTACCGAGGTAACAGAGCATAAACCAACGTATTGTGTAGAGATCACTTTGTACTTGACAGGTAACAAAATGTTTGTAGACTTTCGGTAGCATTTTCTTCATAATTTTTTCGAATTGTGCTTGAAAACGAAATAATTTGGGAAATCCCGGACAGAAAAAGCCATGCATCATCCAACGTGAGCCAGTCATTAATTGACAAAATGCCCAAAATGCTTCCTCTTCCGGTAAATAGAAAAGTAAGAAAGCAACAATTTGATTCATTCCTTGGGTGTAACCAATCTCTGTATTATAAACGCTGAAAAGGAAAAGCAAATTGTAAAAGACTTTCTTCCTGTCACGACAACAAACATACCTGTATGCAGCCAAAATCGAAAATAAATGTTTTTGTCTTATACAATATCGATTACAAAACATCTGATGATTTCTATATGTTCGATGAACATCTAAATCGATCTGACTTAGATATGTTGATGATGAACGAGCTTTTCTTTTCAATATTTCATAGTAGCCTTTGTTAACGCGTAATTGCTCATCAAGATCAAATAACCGGGACCAGAATGCGCCACGTAACGTACTTGGTAAGCCTTTGAACATTCGTCTCCTCAATTGTTCGTTATCTCGACTGATTGAATGACTTGATTTTCTTAGCATTTTATTCCAACGCTCACTACGTTTGATTTCTTGTTGTATTTGTTTCTTTTCATTGATTGTCATTGCTTTTATAGGTTGTTCATGAATAAAACCGTAGTGATCGATCGCATTGGGATCGGTTGTTGAAAGACGTGGTGATTGTAAATGGCTGACATCGGGAATTAGATCAGGTAGTTTGCCCTCATGTTCATAGAGAAGAAAAAGCTTCTCCCGTTCATCTAATTGCTTTCTGGCTGCTTTATCAATATGTGTTAGGACAGGTGTGGATGGTGGTAATGGTAAAGGTGGTGGATTGCTAGTTGCTGTCTGTTTCATTCAAATCTAGAACATAAGGAACATTTATTCAATATCTGACAAGTGAAATATAATAACAAAGAAGAGTTTTAATCAAACGATCCATCGAGAAATTCATAGATTGGGTTCGTATTTATTGAACTAAATATGTGCAAGCGATCTAAGCGTTTCGATGCACATTGCTTCATGGAATTATGTGCATCACGCGTTAACATCCGAATGAATTCTTCTGTTGCTAATGTTAAGATGTAAACACTATCTTGACTGATCATTCGTGTATTTTCATCGAGCTTTATGATTGATTTGACTTTCGTCAATGGTAATTGATAGGAGCGTGTTGATGACGATTTCGTTTGATCGGTTGACGAAGCCATTTATTCGATTAACAAAAGAATTAATAACGATAAACAATTCTTTTATATTGTTGTTGTTGTTCGTCCAATTGACCAATAAAAAATGCATTTCGAATTTTTTCGAAAAAATAATCTTTTCTGTAATTTTACGAACAATTTCACTGAATCCAGTTTCATCGGAAATTATTTCTAGCGAGTCTACTTTTCCAATAGATGTCGGTAAGATTGTCACAAGATTGGTGGAAAAAAAGATATGTTTTCTCAGCTCGTACGATGGTATTATAAAACAACACAATAGTTGTCAATCATCATCTTTTTTATTTATTGAATTAAATGGAACCTTTTCAGACGACTTGTACTAACTGCTGAGTCTGTCGTAATGGGATATTTCATGAATTAGTCTCGGCCTAATTCGATTGATTTTAACGAAAATTTTTAAAGAGAAAGCATCGAAGACACATTCCTGTGATTGTATTCTATTGTTGCGCCGTCGAAGAAGTTTATTTAAGTATTTGCCAGGTTTTTATGAGAAGTCAATTTGTAAAAGAAACCTTTTACTTCCTCTCCTTCTGCGATGGAGAAAACCGAGTACTTCCTGTTCGTTTCAATTGCAACTCGATCTTTGAGAAATGGATGTTTTAGATATTTCTTTCAGATATGTCTTATTTATTATTAACATCCAATAGATCGCATTTCAAACTGCCTTTCTACACCATGTATCGTTATCTATCAACGATTGAACGTATTAATTATGAACATAGATTACTTTCAACATCTCAATCCAATCTTCGGTGCAATGTAGCGCAACATCCGCTTAGAATCCATTATGAGCAAAAACGTTTCATCACACTACACGTACCCGGATCTGATCAAAACACGTCAACGCCAAGAAAATATGATACTAAAGTGCCGTTACGATTTCCCCCGGGCAAACCGAATGATAAGCCAAAACTTGAACATCTACGTTTTGTTGAAGAACAGCTAAAACTAATTGTAAATATTTATTCGCGTGGTTTCCATTCAATGAAAGTCTTTGATTTTTAGTTACCGGATTTTTGTAAACGAATGCACCCATATGGTCTGTATACAGCTGATCTTATTTTCGAAAATTACTATGACAATCCACCCAAAGTCATCAAGTAGGCAATGTATGTGTGATTGAAAATAGACATATGACAAATGAAAGGATGATTAGAAATTGTTTGAATATAAAACAGATCGTCATATGTCTATTTTCAAGTCATATATTTTGGTTCGATAAAGTTTTAACCTGGAATTTTCCTCGTAGAGGAGCAGGTAGTTATGCGCTCGCCATGTTCTGGATTCGAACAAAGCTAAATTTTAAATTGATGAATGTCACTGTACATTTGCTAAACACAACGATTGATGAAGAATCAAACTGTGTTAAAGTTCGATGGCGAATCTCCGGTCTATCCAATAAATCATTTGTCGGAGTTCTCAAAGGCTGGAGAAAACCAAGAGATGTATCCGGGAACATTCGTGATTATATCGAGTAAATATGTCAATCTGATTCATTAAAATTCCATCATTCTTGATCGTCTCTTTCAGACATGTCGATGGCCTGTCCACGTTTTATGTTCGAGGTGATGGTCGAATTTACAAGCATCGAGTCGATCGAGTAAAATTTTCTTGATTATATTTCATTTGTTATGGCTAACTTTTCATTTATCTAGGCCATGGTAGATGAAGACAAAGAACCAGCACCATCACTATTGAATAAGAAGAAACTAGCACCTGTATCTCCCTAATATAGTTTAACGTTGTTTTCTATATCTTTGTTTTATTTATTATTAAAAAACCAGCTGAAGAGAAAAATCATCACGCAGTGATTACAATAAAAGATAAAGGTTTTGTTTTTCATTTCTAGATTAACTTATTGTCTTCTATATCTATATATAACTCAGTAAGTGAAATTTCCTTTTTCGTAACGTTCGCACGAAATGATCGATAAATTTTTCACTTACTGTTCATTTCGTTTCTAAAACTCGTTTAATCTTAGTCAGACAGATCTCTATGGCAGCACATCGCGCACGAGATGCTGCTCGGCAGCTAAAAGATGATATTAAACATAGTATGCGTATCACATCGCGCTCAAAAGAGCGTTCTGCCAATGAAACTCAACCAGCAACGCTCACCATTGGTATGAACATATCTTCATCTAACTATGTACTAACAAATCAGTCATGCTTAACTCGTCTTCTTATCTCAATGTCTAACCTCTTAATAGTCTAATATATCGCTTTGTAACCTTTTTAATCTTGTACGTGTTTTTATTTCGAATGAAATATGTTCTTCTTTTCTTTTTGTTCTTTTCTTTCGAGTCCGTGTTCGACTTATTTACGTTGTGATGTGCACAGGATTGGTTCTGTCTATTTTTTCTTCTTTTCTTTCGTTAGTGTTTTGACTCGTGTGCTTTTCGTTGTTGCATTCATTCTTTTCTTTTCAATAATCATCCGATATACATGCCACATCGTATGCGTAAAATTGTCTCGAGATGTCGACCGTCATTCACTCGAATACATCGAAAACGACATTCATACGATGCCAGTCTTCCTCGTATGTGTTTAAGTATCTTTTTATTCTTTTGCTTTCTACTCGATTGAGCTTTATCTCTGACAATAGGCATCACCATTGATCAGTTAGATCGATTCTACTTCGAGTTTGTCACTCTATCTTGATCTTTTTATTAAAAATAACTTGCTTTCTGTGCTTAGTCGTGCTTGTTTTCCTTCTCTGATCTTCTCAATCAGCATTTTAGTTGTCTGTTCGACAAAAATGTACTAGGCCATTTTTGACATAACAATTCAACCATAATGAATTTAATAACAAATAACCATAACGACAAAAACAAGATAGCAGAGTAGATCGTACGAAGAGAACAGATAACAAGTTTATCTCGCTCAATAACTTAGGAGAATACAATGATTCAATAGAATCAGCACAACAGCTGCTTGGATGCATGTGTTATCACTTTGCTCACTAACAAAAGAAAAACAACATTTTCATGCAAATTTTCATTTTTGTTTTGTCTTTCCATAGATACGATCGACGAAAACCCTACGTCGAGCGCCTCGTCACAAGTTTTTAATCGAACGAAACAATCAAGTAATTCGAATGCGACGATCTCATCATTAGCAGCTTTTCCGAATACAAATCGCTCAACAACTGATAATCCCATAAAATCAGATTCCAGTAAATCAGAACGTACACGTTGTCTCACATATTTTAACCGCTTCGTTCGAAATAGATACTCGTCCACAATTTGGTCTATCGTATGGTTCAACACCAGCGATGCAAAACCTAACGAATTCGGCTGGCACAGGTATCGTTCAACCTCATGCATTCTCTCAACAGCCATTGAATATGCAATCGACAACACCATCGGTCGCTAACGGAAAAGACGAACTACGCGGCTGGTTGTACAAATGGACAAACGTAATTTCCCTCTCTCTCTCTCTCTCTCCGAAAGCAAGAACTTTCTTTGATTCTTCTTTATTTTAGTATTTAAAAGGTTATCAAAAGCGTTGGTTCGTTCTTCAAGCTGGTATACTTTCATATTATCGTTCACAAGATGAAATGACGCATGCGTGTCGTGGTACGATCTATCTTGAATCAGCACATTTATCATCGAATGACTTCTGTCATTTTGTTATTTCGAATGGTTCCACTGTAATACATTTACGTACATCATCAGAAACTGATAAACAACGTTGGATGAATGCGTTAGAAACAGCCAGACAGAAAGCATTGAAAATCCGTCGACAATACCAAGATTCTGATGAAGAAGTGTCCACAATTGATGAGCTCAATGAGCAACAACGAAATCTCGGTCAGCCGCAAGCCAGTCCGAATGATTCGAATAAGTCACCAAATAATGATGAACGCGCAGAACTAACAACAATGAACAAGGCATTCGACGCCAAATTAGAGGATCTGAAAATGTGTATGGATTTGATTAATCGGCACTATCAAGCACTTTGCCGCACGCTTGGTGACCTTGAACAGCTCGACAAAACCGAAGCAACAGTAAACGCGATTAAAAGTGTCAATGAACGTGCAACACTATTCCGCATTACATCAACAGGTAAATTATCGCGATCTATTGTGTAATAAAACAAAAAACACATCCTCAGTGGAATTTTCTATAAGCAGTCATATTTTGACGCCGTTTTCTTTCCGATTATTTCCTATTGTACCTGAGATTTCTATCATGTGATAGACCTGTAAAATCATTTGGTTAGACTATTAATCGAGGAAGTCTAATCCTGACATTCATTTCGTAGTTAATTGATGATGGTTTCTTGTAGCTATGCTTAATGCTTGTCAAGAATTGGTTCAGTTAATTCAAAGTCAAGGTCGCAGATGGCAGAAAAGCGTTCAAGTCGAGCGCGACGCACGTATACGTTTGGAACACATGTGTGAACAAATCGCACTACAGAGTGTTAAACTGGAGAAGAGAGTTCAACGCGCATCACGTTCGGAAAAACAAAATCTTCTGTCTGGACGTTCAGCGCTAACATCGTTAAAATCATCGGATTTAAGAGGAACAACTGAAGGTGCAAATCTGTCAGATGACGAGGAATTTTATGATGCTATTGATGATCCACAAACGATTGGCGTGTTTCGTATCCCGTAAGTCTCTTCTTGTCTTAATTCCATTATTGAAACTAGTCTTTTCTCTGTAGACTTCAGCAACATGTTTCGAATAATGATAAACAGTCACCGAACATTGTTGCTGACGATGTTAGTTCATGTAATGACGACGATAGTGAATCAGAAGAACAGGATGAAAATAGTTTACCCATGGTTATAGTCAAGGGTATGTCGAATTAGTTTCAATCAAGCTCATGTACATTAGATAAATCATTGATTGATCTTGTTTAGCTGCGAAAAAAGACGAAGCAAACACTAATGCTGCATTACCAGCTCAAACAACTACCGAAGAAACAGTATCAAAACCAGTTGTTAGCACTCAACAACATACCGCAGTAGCTAAACGCAAACGTCGTGATCGTATCCCTGAAAGGCCGAACTATAGGTAATCGTGTACTTCACCGTTATTCGAACCTTACGAATGCTGAATTTTAGCGTCAATCTATGGAGTATCGTTAAGAACTGTGTTGGAAAAGATCTGACCAAAATTCCAATTCCGGTTAATTTCAGTGAACCCATCTCGATGTTGCAGCGTATTACCGAAGAACTTGAATATAGTTCCGTGCTTGATACGGCAGCGAAAATCAATGATAGTTGGGAACAATTAGCGTATGTTGCAGCGTTCACTATTTCATCCTATTCAACAACTACAACAAGAGTTAATAAACCGTTCAATCCATTGCTTGGCGAAACTTTTGAGTGTGATCGAACAGATGATTTAGGCTGGAAATCCATTGCTGGTAAAGATATTTGCTTTGAATGTACCGTTAGTCGATAAAAATAAACATTTGCATTTTAGAACAAGTTAGTCATCATCCACCAGCCCTGTCTACATATGCTGAGGGACAAGGATGGACATTATATCAAGAATTCACTATGACATCGAAATTTCGTGGTCAATATTTAAGTATTACTCCATTAGGTATGTACTTCGCGCCAATCGATTTTGGAGACAATACTTCGTCTCGTTTCTCACATAGGTTATTCTCACTTGATATTTAAAAACACTGGTAATCATTTTACATGGAGAAAAGTGACTACTCTTGTCAATAATATAATTGTCGGTAAACTTTGGATCGATAATGTAAGTTATCTAAACAGAAATTCTCCTATTGTGTAAGACATAATTGACGTTTTTAGGTTGGTGAAATGGATATCAACAATCACACAACGAAAGATGTTTGTAAATTGAAATATTTTCCGTATAGTTATTTTTCTAAAGACGTTCCACGAAAAGTAACCGGTGTCGTTACCGACGTTGACGGGCAAGCTCGATGGGTGTTAACCGGTATGATTGAAATCTTACTCTATAGAATATCATCAATTATCAAACTTTTAATTATGTTAGGTACATGGACAGAAAAAATTGAAGGCGGTCCGGTTGAAGCTTCGTCTGGTCGTCATGCTCATTCGCATCACATGGAAACACGAAATATGAAACTGTTATGGCAACGGAAAATGCCACCGGCACATCTTGAAAACATGTATAATTTCACTCAGTTAGCCGTGGAATTGAATGAAATGGAACCTGATGTCGCTCCCACGGATTCTCGTCATCGTCCCGATCAACGTTTGATGGAAGAAGGACGTTGGGATGAAGCTAACCAAGAAAAGCTACGTCTCGAAGAAAAACAACGTCAAGCTCGACATGCTCGAGAAACCAATGGACAAGATCCGTACAAATCGAAATGGTTCAAAAAGCAACACGATGCATTTACCGATTCGGATATTCACATGTACACCAATGAATACTGGGAATGCAAACAGAAACAAGATTGGTCAAGATGCGAAAATATCTATTAATTTAACAATTTCTCTCATTTTTATTATCTCAATGTCTGCTTTAGACCTGATGCAAAACAGAATTGTCTGCTAATTGAAATTTGTTGTCAGCATTCGGTGGAGTGATCTTTTCATTTTCTTTTGTGTTCTTTTACCGTTAGTTTTAAACAAGCGCATACTTTCGTATTTAGACATATGTGTAGATATACATATGTATACATATTTTTAAAAGAAACTTTTCCAGACAATAAGCCAACAGCATTCTTTACCTCTCTCAGTCTATATGCTTTAATATATTTTAGATCAAGCCAGAAAGTGTTTTGAATTTAATATGAAATGTTTAACTTAATCTTAATTTTCGCTTTGGTTTATTCGACGGCAGCAAATAAGAATCTATTAACCGGTAGGATTTTCATGCTCTCTTGTCTCCTATACTCTTTTGTGTTCTTTTTAGGGTATGATCTCTCACAACAGTATTCTCGTATCCGCATATTCGAATACGATAATTATGCAGATGTTAAATTCCTCAAATTCAATATTCAAGGTCCCACAACTCTAGCGAATTGGTCGATAACCGTATCCACTGAAGGCACATGTACTGATTATTCATCTAATATTCATTTGTATGTTGTATGTTCAATTTTCTGTTTTGCTAATTTCCTCTGGATGATTTAGTTATCTCCAACATGGTGCATATCCATTGGTCGCGCCGCGAAATGAATCATATCCACCATCCTACATAACTTATCGCCATAATCTTTTTAAATTAGTTTTTAACAAATCATTAACTAACCCATTAATTCAATTAAGTAATCCTGCAATTGGAACATGGTTTGCCATGGTAAGTATCTGATCGAAAATTGAACTTCCGTGTAGAATCGCTTTGATTTTCAGATATTTGTCGATCATCAAACATCTACAATCAAATCAAAAGTATGTTTTACTGAAAATGAAGATTTTCTTCGTAAAACGTGGCTTGTTTCTTAGATTACAACGGGATGTAACTATTATCTATCAACTTGGCTTGATTATCAGACACTCCCATCGATATCTACATTAGCAACCAATCAACCACTTCAGATCACCATTGCTTATAATCAAACATCGATTTATTTATCGTAAATAGCTAGCTATCCGTTTTCTGCTGGTCTAAGCAGTGTATCTATGTTTTTAGACATCATACAATGGCGGGACAATCTCGGTTAATGTTTGCAGTGGAATGGTCGTCGAATGACTGTGAAATCTCCATATTGGCGCGATTAAATGCTCTTCCAAGTATTTTTCGATACGATTATGTAACAGGTTAAACACAAGAAAAAGATAATGATGCACAACACTAATAATAATTATTATTTTAGTCTGCACGAAAAACAAATGTACAATGGAGATTGATGAAATTTTTTCTTTGACATCGGTTTATTTTCTACTCACAACGAATAATTATTCTTGTCTGATAAATCCTCAGCATGGCGTCGTACTTCTTCGTACATCAGGTATCAGATCTAATCGATTTTCACCCTCAATGCATTCGTTGTCTCGCGTAGAATGTTTACTTTCTGTGAATAATCGCTGTCTCCAGCCATATCCAACACGACGAATTATGTTTAATTATTATTATGACTTTTTATATGTACCTATTTATACAACTAATCGTTTTAATAGTGGTAGTACTAGCTCAATAACATTGAATAACAACGATTTATCGATATATTCGTATGAATTCATGATCGATGATAGGAATCTAGGAGGAACATTGCATTTTGATTTTGAATCACGAGTGATGGTAAAACTTCGTTAATCACGAACGCTAATGTTGACAGATTTATTTTCTAGTCGTCTTTATCTGCGAATGTGAATATTAGTGTACATGGTTGTTTATCCAAATATCAGCCGCATACATATGCGACTTGTGAATCAGCTTTTAAAATCCTCATCGATAAAAATTCGATCGCAATGAATTCATTTCCATATCCAGAAATGGGTTTCTGGTATTTAACATTAGAATACATCTGTACTGGGTAGGTTCATCTATTTCCTTTTGATCGCTTAAAAAATCTTTGTATTAGTTCGGAATCGGAATGTGGAAACAGTTCGTTATCGTTGATGTTTCAAATCTCATCATCGCAATGTACGAAACAACAATGTGGAGCATATGGTGTCTGTCGAATATTAACATCGCAGCAAAATGTGTTTTCCACATGCTCGTGTCTTGCTGGTAAGTGGAGCGAGAGAACAAAACGTATAATTCCGATCTAGACACAATAGGAAACTTTTTTAATCGAATCGCACCGTAGGTAATTGTCTCGTCAACAGAATCGATACCTTCTAATCAAAATGCTCACTCTTTGCTTCAGTTAATCATTCTATTGCTAGAAGAATATTCATGCCGATCATCTCTTTAAAGATCTGCATCATTTCGATGGCAAAAAATGTTGATTTTCATTTAGGTTATCGCGGCTACGGCTGTACAGATGACAGTCATGCATATGCATCGAAAAGCTTAGCTAGTGTTCTCTTTCTAACACTCAGCAATTGCATGTTCATGCCAGCTATCATCTTGGCAGTTTACCGACGTTTGTACATCGAAGCGTTGGTCTATTTCTTCAATATGTTTTTCTCTACGGTAATATCAATTGGAAATGACGATGAATTTCCTTCAATAAATCCATTTATCTTTTGTAGTTTTATCATGCATGTGATCAAGATATTAATAAATTATGTATTTTTAAATATGACGGTTTACAACTATCAGATTTCATTGGATCTTATGCTTCATTTGTTATAACATTGATAACTATGGCTATAATTCCGCGATCTACAAAAGTATTTCTGTTTATGTTAGGATTACTAACTTGTATTGCGATTAATTCACGCGATCGGTTTGATCATTTACAATTTATTGCCTTGATCAGTATTACATTCACATTCACTGTTTTAACCTGGGTAAACGAATGAATTTTCCCGATCGAAATCAGCTATTCTACTTTCAATATTTAGATTATTGTTTCGCTGAGATATCATCATTTACGGCCATCTACAAAACGCTTCTTGTTAGTTATACCAGGCTTTCTACTAGCCTTAGCGGGATTGGTTTTATTTGCATTTTGTGAAACAGACGAAAACTATTGGTATACACATAGTTTATGGCATATATTAATTGCCAGTTCAATTCTGTTTTTCCTTCCACATAACAAACGTTATACAACAGGTAAGACTAAAGCGAAAGAGGCACCAACTAACACGTTTCGATATGATCGATTAGTAAGAAAAGATCAACATCATGTGAATTTACCATTAATGCTAAGAAAAACATCAGGTGAACAGTAGCCGATGCCTTATATGTCACCTTGCATGCTCAACGCATGAGGATCATGATAGAATGGAACAGGTCTGTCGTTTCACGACAATATCTCATCGGCTGGATGAGATTTGATCGTCCCCACCGGCATGAAGATAGTTTTCTGCATAAATCAGCTCGCTCCGATCTGCATTCTCGATAGCTGCGACGTTTTCTCAGAATTCTTTGTTAGTTGTATTTGAATTTGGACTTTTCATTTTCTTTTTAGAACCATCTCTACAACGAATAGAGACGTGTGAACCAGTTCTGACATGTGAACCTGATATTATAAGAGATGATCTTCCAAACCAAACAGTTACAACGCCAATTGACAATACTTCATTGTCATCATCGAATACTGACTCATCGAAGAAATCGACGGATAATCTCTTACATTAAATTTGACAGTTTTTGTGATGATTTTTTTTTGAATATATCGAATTCAATGTGATCTGTTCAATACTCTGTTTTCTTTTTTTCTGTCCGTGTGTGTCTTTCGATTAACGCCTCTCTTTTTTCTTACAATATCTCTGTTGTTCATTTTCTGTTCTTACTCTAGTCTCTTTCTCTTTCTACATCTATTCATGTAGTTCACTCATTCTTCTTTTTCTCAAATGTAAAACAGCAGAGATATGACGTCAATTAATTCATCTCGAAATCGAACAATATTTTTTAATAGTGATTCTTCATATTCAAATCAAAATAAAACTAATTTAAATGAAATTTTTTCTATCGATATGAACCTAGCATGACGATGTGATGCGTTAGCTAGAGAGTCTTTTAATAAATAAGTTCTGTCCATATAACCTAGCCCATTCGATTGAGAATTTAATGCTGCATCGAATGGTGATACTTTTATGAACAGGAGAAACTTTGGAAACATTTTTGCCGATATCTTTATTGAGGGTGAGGCGAAAATTTTTTATGATTGGAACCAGAGTTGGTTTGATTGTAACCCACGCGGAAACGAACTGGCTCAAGAAGATGTCGAATCGTGCCGGAAGGTATCTTACTTCACTTTTGTCTGAACTGCCATCTTCATTGATTCACTCTTGTGCAATCCTTTACGGCGTATAATGAAATCAGACGTGAAATAAAGAGTAATGGGTATTCTGTGACCCGGTGAACAGCCCATGGAGATGCTACTGGTGAGATGGTATTAAATCAAGAATAGGCTGGACGAGCGATGTGTGATGCTTGAAAAAAGTTCATCTTAGCAACAGACTATTCATTCTCTAAAAACGACCATTTCGCACTTCGACCCAGTTTTGTATGTATGTTACGAATTAAATATCTCAAGAATAACGGTGCGAGGGGACGAATTCTGAGGTTTTTCGTAGCTCATCAAAAGATGGCAAACAAAGGCTTTGAACACCGGAGCGAGGAACCTCCGTCGCTAATGAATGGCTCCTAGCTCTCGATTATTTCTAACTTGATTGCGCATGATTTCGTTCTCTCTTTCTATTCGATTCAGTTACTGTTTATCACAAATAACATGTGCATATTATTACTTCAATTTTTTTAGATCGTACGACAAATTTTGATCAAGTAAAAGGTTTTTCCTGCGTTCATATATAAAACAGCGAAAGAGAAGATGGCGCTAATTATCATCTGTAATTTTGCCTTACAACAGAACAATATTTTTCAATAGTGACTATTCATAGTGAAAAAAAGTTAAAAGTGTCACTGAAGAACTTTGAAAATTTGATTCTATGCTCTCATCAAACCAGAATATTGGATCATTGTCTCATATAATGATGATCATCAACTATTCGTCTGTCTGTCCTATGTCTCAAACAATGAGTGGACACTGTAATTAGATTTGTGTTCTGGCTTCCTCGTGAACGTCTGACGTTCATATTCAACACTGATCATGTGTACCTACCACGGTATTCTGGAAGAATATCCTCTCATTTCGATCGATTCATTTGAAAGTTATAATTATACGAGTACACTGTTTTTTATTACACATATTCATTTGGATCATCTTGTTGGACTAGAACGACCGGAATTCGGTCGATATGTCGCTAAAATCAATGCACCAATCTATATGTCAGATATTTCGAAACAACTACTCAGTACGATGCCAATATATAAACACTTAATACCCTATTTCAAATCAGTACCAATTGATCAACCGTTCACATTAACAATTCGATCGAATGATCCTGTTCAAGCCAAGAAAAAAGATGGCGCAGGTAAACTGCTTATAGTCCAATGTCGTATGTAGGCGAACAATTCTAGATAGTGAAAGTCTAAAAAATACTCTCGCATTTCATACACCGAATGTTGGCGAAACCGTTGTGGTAACTTGTTTCGGTTCAGGACATTGTCCCGGCTCGATCATGATTTGGATCGAGGGTGCACATGGAAATGTTCTATTTACTGGTGATTTTCGTCTTTATCACGGTCAAAGTAAACGATTAACTCATCTACATCGTCGACGCACTGATAATGACGATAATTATATTTTCAAACCTATTGATAATCTTTACATTGATATGACATTCTTTCGTCCGGAAATTTTACATATTCCAACTCGTGAAGTCAGCTGTGAAGCTCTCATTGTTTGGATAAGATCATGTTTGAAAGAAGAATCTAATGTTCATTTCCATTTCAAGCAAAGGTATTGACGACGAATTCAAATTTTGAAATATCCGAAACTTATTCACTTTTAGTGCTCGAGTCGGCTACGAACAAATTTATCTAGCATTATATGAGAATCTGAATATGCGTGTGCACGTTGAACAAAGTCAGTACGAATTCTTTGCATGTTTACCTATTATACAAGATTGTTTAACAACTGACCCAACTGTCACACGTTTGCATGCGTGTCGTTCAGCAGCATCGAATTATACTGAGCCTTGCTCACTATTTCGAACTTGCGACAAGCCTATTCGAATATTTCTGTCAATCATGTGGTTCACTGAACAAGTTGCTGCGAGTAAATTCGATCTGAATTGTTTTTCAAACATCGAAGATCTTGTTTTTAGGCGAACTATTAGTCGAATACCATGAATATCATTCGAATTTCAACCAAAACTTGACAAAGCGTTGTCTTGGCTTCCAAGATTACGAATCAGCAACGAATTACCCAGACAAATATCTCGGCTATCGTCTATGTTACTCATTGCATTCGTCATTTTCTGAAATTGTCGACGTTTTGAAAACGTTGACACCGAAACGAGTAACGCCAATAGCTTCACCATTGATAAGCTTAATGCCAACGAAGCGATTATTTCAAACGATTGATCATTTGATTCGAGATAGAACGAAAGAACAATCCAGAGGAGCGATACCGAAGAAGATTGCCAATACACAAATTCAACTCAAACATCGTTACGAATCGTTTGAAACGAAACTTGAACGAAAACGTCGAAGAAAACTGTTCAAAGAACAACAACAACGACGAGCGAATGATGAAGAATTGGACCTAGGATTAAATGACGAAATGGAAGAAATTCTCTTGCAACGAATCCATTCTTTAAGTAGATCACTTGCCGAACAAAACAAAGCGCTTCTGTCCCAACAATCATATCAATGTAAGTGAAAGGAAAGGAAAGGACAGGATCCATTTTAAAGTCAACATCTTTTCTTCTCTTAGCCTTACCATTGGAAATTGAATCGGATCGGGTTACCATCATTACATCTGAAGAAGAAAGTTCATCAACATCTGATCACCAACCTATGGAATTAATCTATACAAAGATTCATCGTGAACGTACAACGTCCGAAGCATCTACCGATACCGTTGATTACAATTTTGAGAGAGAAACATATGTAGCATTAAAATTTGATTCTCAACAATCCTCATCTTCATTGCCAATAGTAGACTAGATTTGCATTTTTTTTTGTAGATAATGAATTCATTAGCTCCATCCGTTTTGACATTAACTCTTGGCATGTTTTTTATTCTCATGGGTCAATTCAAAGTTACACCTAGGTACTTTCCAGATGTATACGAAGATATGGTAAGATTTCCTCAAGTTTTTTCAGAACTTTTTCTTCAATACAATTCAATTAGAAACAAGAATTCGGTCGCAATAATAAAGTCTTTCCGTTTTATCAACTCACCGGTTGGCGTCCATATGCGAAAAATTACCGTTTAACTGTAGGAATTATTGAGATTGTGTGCGGGATTACTCTCGTTCTTATACCTGGTAAATAGAAAAGTGTTTCCTATTTGAAATTTGTTCTCAAAGTCTACTTTAAGGTCGGCTGAAGCAACTCGCAAACATTGTTCTTTTAATTTTGATGTTAGGCGCAATCTACACTCATTATGCATTAAATGATAAATTTGATCGTATGGCACCTGGAATAATCTTCAGTCTACTTCTATTTGCTCGTCTTCTTATCTTGCGATATTCCGGACATTCCAATCTAATTAAAATAAGTAAAAACGTTGAAGATCAACAAGAGCTGTCTGACAGGAAGAAAAACAATTGACGAAAATCGGTTTTCTACGCTGTCTATCTACTGTCATTGCGTATTTTGCATTCCTAGATATGTAATTTTGTTGTCAGTATGTCTCGATGTTGTTTTGATTATTCTGCATGACCAGATCACATTAATCTTGAGAGATTAGCTGCAATAAGAATTCTCGTATGGTTTTCTAATAAATATAGAGCACAATTTCTTATTACTTCTGATCGAAGCAATTACTGCGTGACGGGGAGACCTTTCCTGTTCTGTCTCGGGGCGCTCAGTAGAAGTGCCTTCTACTGAACAAAAGGTTTCGAAGTGTATGTGGTAATAACACTCTTTGTATCGCATGTCAAACAATGATTAATTACGAGAATTTGTTCATAGTTTATCGATGAATTTTACATTCATTAGAATTAGTTCGACATTTAGAGAAGGCTTAGGAAAGATTTTGCAATCAGAATGATCGATTGTCGTGTATTTCTATCAAACATATGTTCATAACTGAAAAACATCAGCTAAAATTTCGGATAAGAAGATTAATTTTATTGTTTACGTACAATCTGTTAGAACGCGTGATGTTTGCTGTTTTTCTTTTTTGTAACATATATGTATGTTTTGGATAAAACAGATAAAAAGCAGACGACATAGAGATTGATTAATGATAGTTTTAGAAAAAAGAAACTTTTTCGTGTTTGCCGTTGATATTCAAGAAAAAGGTCTTCATTTCATACGGATGGGAATCCATTATGTGACGCGGTTTTGTTCGGCAGGTCTGATCGACATTCTTGATGGATGCTTTTGTTTATAATTATTGTATAATTTCTTTAATAGACGTATTTCGTCGTGAGTGTCGTCTGTACCATCATCTTCACTGTGATCGACAGTATTGGTGAATTTATTCCACTCGTTATACACGTCTAAAGGCGAATCATCCCGACGGACAAGCTTTACTTTAAATGCATCATAATAATCTTTCACAGCTTTGAGATAGCTTTCAATCTGTTCTTTGGTTTTGAAGCGTATAGGTCGTTCAGGTGGCGGTGGGATATCAAGATACGAGGATAATATACATGAAACCAATGCAAATAACAGCACAAGGATCACGCACGTATTGTTCATTCTGAAACAAAACAAAATACCTGTATCCTACTAATTTGATACTTCAAGTACTAGTCGTGTTGGGTCTTTTCAATAAAAGCGAGGCATATTAATGTTTCGCGTGATAGAATATTCCTGTACTGTCTTCCTACTTTTGATGACGGTAGTTAATTATAGAGATAAACTCGATTTCTGTACTAAGTCACGGTATTCGTGTATTCTCTTAGAAAAATGTTTATCTACGTCCACCCCGCTATGAATGAGCTCACGCGATTGATTTTGCCTTGCACTACGCATCACTAGCCTAGATCAGCTCAGGTACAATATGAAAAATAATCATATGGTCTCGGCAGATCTGTCTATCGTGTGACATCTAAAGACTAAACTGATTCAAATTTGGGAAATTACATTCTGTTACGCTGCCGACTGGATTTATAATTGAGTCCTATAATTAAATCGTCAGTACCTGAAAGTCATATAGAAGTAGTTATTTTACAGTATGTTGCACCACAATATAAAGCTCTACATCTATGAGAATAGAGCGTTTTGTGTCACTTATCTTGAATACTGCAGAAAGAAACATGTATCTGATGTTATAGACATGTTATTTATAGGCTCAATCCAGCACTGAGAAAAAGAAATGCACCGCTCGAAAGACAAAAAAAAACATCATAAGAAAGACAGGTATCTACTTCAATTTGGTTCATGCAAGACTGGAAAATCTGATGAGTTTCTTACTCTCATGTTTCTAACAGGACAAAAGGATGCTTACGCTTTACTTCAATGGAAAAAGTATTCTTGAAGAATTGAGGATGTTTGCAGCGTGATGAATAGGATTCAGCTGTCGTAATTATAACAAACAACTGTCAAAAAGACGGCGTTTACGTGAATAAATCTAAGAAAACTTTATATATATATATATATATATATTTCTTCTTTTGTTTTTTCTCTAGAGAAAACATAGATTATTAGAGAAAATCCTCAAATAAGAGAAAGATTCCAGCTGTTCATATTTATCAAATAAAGACTGACGTCGAAGAAAAATAAATATTACATTGTTTTATCAAAATTGCTGACGTAGATTATAAAAACATATAAAATCTAAACTCTGTCAGTCATATATTTAAAATATGCCAAATTCAGATTACCTTTATACTTTCGAAAAAAATCCCACGCCCTCGTATAATATCATTTCTGATATCTCATCTATTCTATGCTTTCGCACGAAAGAAAATAGTAACAAATCTATTGACACATCTGAAATCTAACGACGAAGAACGAGTGGGTGTTCGATTACAATCAATTTTCGATTGTAAAAGAAAGAAAGACTTCAAGTATTTTCTATACTTGTTGGCATGTCAATATGAGCAGACTTGAGAATTTATAACAGAAGATAAACCATTCGTAACTATGTTAAATATCAGATTACCAGTTTGGGATTGTCATAAACACATCACGGGTTTCTCTTGTTTTTTTGTCACACTTTCTAAAGTCATACATCCATATCATGCTTATTCAATTGACATTCTCACACTAGAACTAAGGTGTGAAACAGAAACGGGAAAAAACACTACACAGCTGCGATTAATACAAATATCTGTTCGAAGTGAGATCATTTACATAGGAGTATATCTTAGAGAAGTTGTGTCGCGTGTGATATATATGTCGGTTTTCGCGTTAATTGAGTTTCTCTATATTGCACAGATGAAATAAGAAAGTTATTAAAAATAAGATTACGGAGGCAGCTCTCAAGAATGAGGCTTGTTAATCCTTCACCATGAAACAGTACTTCAAAAAATCTATTTTTTGATATTCCTACATGATTTTTTGACGTATGCAAATCTGAAGTACTTTAAAGTTATTGTTGACAAGTCTTCATTTTATTCCCCACACTTTTTTTTTGCGTCATGTGCAATCTGTCAAAAGTTGACAAAATATAAATGTCTTAAATTTAATTGGAAAGGGAGTGTGAACAGAATGACAAGGTACTTTTTTACTTATTTGTCTAAATAGGACGTTTTTTAGAAAGCAAACTATGACGATTCTTCCAGTTTCTCATTACAGCTCTTCTGTCCGCTTCTTTTGTGTATTCTATCATTTCTAATTGTTATCGATCTCGAGTAGCTATTAGCAACGTCATCAAAATTCTATTAACAACTCCTTCTTTCAAAAATATTTCACTTCGACTATCACCTATTCATCGCATAAAAAGAATCCATACGGGGAATCAAAAAGATTTGTCAACAGCACGTGTATGTCTATTAAAACTCCTACGTATTTATTTTAAGGATTATGCTATATTTTCCCACCTAAACTTGGAAACATAACAAACCAAGTAAAGTCATAATTTTTCATGAATATCATGTTTCAATAACAGCGGTCCGGTAATTATTCACAATATATTGCTTATTCTAAGTAGACATCTGATCTGCGGTTCTATTTAATGCATATTTAAAGAGCTATGACTAAATATCAAGTTTACAGCAGATCTTATAAATTACTTGAATAAAGTATAGACGTGGATGGTTTGCCAGTAACAAAAGACATCCGTTACCTCCAGGTAGTTCTCAAAAGCCAAATTAGTTATTTTCATCGGAAAAACAGAAGGATTGCGTTTTACAGAACGAGTATAGTACATCACCATCTAGTTATTTGCAATAAGAATGTAATTAATTCAACGATCTCATGGTAAAAGTGCTTATGATGCTGTTTTGACTTTATCTTAGAAGAACAATGAAAAAAAAAGAAACAAAACATAAAAAATATGTAATATTGAGTTGTTCTAGCATAACGAAAATTGTTGGGTACGCTTTTTCTTCTGTCTATATACATTTGACTTGTGAGAAGAGAAAAAAACAAACGAATACACTTCTTGATGAATGTGTAGAAGAACTAGATCGACTGCTCGGAAGGATTATTCTCAATTGTATTTGGCATGACGACATGTACATCGATTCGATCAAGACCAGTTGTCTCATCGGTATTATGCACAAATAATAAATGACCACCGTCGATTCGACCGAGAAGATCTTCTAATTCAGCCATATTAGTCGACGAATTCTAAAAGATCGAATACATATCAATGAAACAACTATCAGAAGATTTCATAGATAATTTACATCAGTTGCATCTTCTTCGGTTTCCGTTGGAGGAATTCTGAAATAAAAACATCAATATTGTAAATACAATTAAATAGAAACATTTGAAATATTTGTTCTTCAAAAAACTTTCTTCTAAGTTCGAAAGCGACAACAGATGTGTTATATGCATTGTTCAATTTTTTTGTTTATGTGCTTAACAGAAGAGGCTAAAGATAAACTTTACCGCTGACAGGCGTAACTAGAAGGTGCAAGACACATTCAATCTCAACATGAAATACTAGGTAAAGTACTAAACGATATTACCAGACGGAAGGACTCATGTTTCAAGTGACTAAGCGATTCTAATTAAGAAGAAGTATCTATTAGGTAATCTTGAAGATTAAATGATCGAATTATCTTGGAAATAGGTAATTAAACACGTAAATTCTTTTAACTATCAGCATACTCGAATTCAAGGATAACTCATCGAATAAAATCTTATTCTTCAGGTCAAAAAAAGTTTCTGGTAATGATACAAAGAATTTCTTACGTGTGTTCCATTTTGGAAATCGGTTGTGTTGTGGAGACTTCAACTGTATCAGCGACGTCCATGGAACCTTCATCCTCGTTTTCATCCTCATCTTCGTCATCGACGAACTCGGCACTTTTCTTTACACGAGTACTGTTCTTTTCTAAAATAGAATGAACAACATGAGATGTGTGTGCCGACAGATATCTTATCTTATCTTACTTGATTGTAATCGTCTCTCTCGACGTCGATTGATTTCTAATGGATCAGATGATGATGATGTCTACAAAAAAAACATTGATTTTCGGTCAAATCTATGAGAATTGTTCGTACTTGTTTAGATTTTCGTTTGATTAATCGTCCTTTTCGTCCCTTTTTCGTTCGATTATCGTTCATATCACCATTTTCGTCATCGGACGATTCTTCCGATGGAGAAAAAAAGCATGTTAGATCGAATGGAACGCGTTGATCTAGAAGATTTCATAGAAATGAATCCAAATACTTTCTTGTTGTCGAATCGTACTCAAAGCTGAATCAATCAATGTTCGATTTGCTTTATCTTCGGTTTTGAATTTTCGTTTGATATCATCTCGATCGCGATTGGGAAAAACACGTGCGATTAACGTAAAATCAGTTCCACACATTCGTAGTGCTTGATAAAAACGCAATGTATCTAATTGAAGACAGAATTACTTTGTGAATAAGAACGAAAACAAGTATCTACCCCGAGTACTCCAACGTTTTCGTCGTCCGATCTTACGATAACTTTGATGCGTTAAATTATCATCATTGAATTGTCCTTCGACAATCACTGTGTTTCGAGGAGTGTCCTCCATATTTCGAATGTATAAGCTAAATAGGAAGAAGTTAACATAAATACCGCAATTTTAACGAAAACAAAACTCTACCTTTCTTCATCAACAACTAAAACTCCATTAGCATCGATTTTCAACTGTGGAGCTAAACTCGAATTCTGTCCATCTGTGCTTGAAAAACTATGTTTTCGAACAGGATCGATGGAAGTGTCGACTGTTGATTTCTGTTTGACTCTAGAAGAATATTCGAATACTTTGAAACGAGGTGTGAATGAAAACCTACTCCATGGGATTGTCAACAGGATTGTAGTGAACAAAGTCAGCAATTTTTAATTTTGATGTATCTACTGGAGTGCCTTTGTTAGTACCGGTTTCGTCCAATTTTTCGAGCGTTGCTGCACGACGTTTTCGTATAGTCTTAAAAACAAAACGAACTGCGAAGGATAAGAGTGAAAAAATTCGATTTACCATTTCAGGTTCGACTTTTCCCGCGAGTCGTTGTGCTCGATATGTAATGTGCTGACTTATATATTCACGGCTAATTCTAGTATTCATTCTAGTCGGCAGAGACGGTACTTGATATTGACTGTTATCGATAACTGGTGGCTGAATTTCGGGAGAGTCTGTCATCATTGCTTCAGGTTTGGTCGAATTGCTAACATCTTCGTTGGCTGGAGTATCTGACGTAGAATTTAGTTGAGGTTCGTTTTCAACAATTGTTCTAAACAGGGATAAACTCAGAGAATGGGACCGTTTGGTAGTGAAGAACGAACTTCGAGGTTGGTGGAACGATTCGTGTGTAGGTGATTGAAGATGCTGTTGAATGTTTTTGACGAACTGATTCACTTTCACTTTCTGTACCTGAACAACTAGCAGATGCACTAGCAATAATAGAAAGAAGATTGATGAGAGAATTCAAATCGAATGGATAGACATACCGGCGATTATGTATGACAGACTTTACGCCAATATTTGGCGCTATTCTCTTTCGAAATATCAGTCTTGAAGCCGGTGTAGAAGTAGGAGGAGCAGGGGGAGGTGGAGAGGATGGAGTAGTTGGAACAGAAATAGGTACAGCGGGTGGTTCGGTTGGAACTGAATCAGATGGAGGCGGTAGAGGTGTAGGTAGTGCTGGCGTTTCATTTGTTTCTTCAACGACGTCGGGAAGAGACTCTGAAAAATAGTATTAACTTATAAAAATACCTTTTTCTTGTATAAATATACCTTTGATTGTCGGTGGAGTCGAAACCGTTTCAACCTGCTCGACAATCTGATCTTCTTGCGGTGGGGCTGGGGCTGGTGCTGATGCTGGTGCAGCAGCGGATGTGTCTTGTGGTCGCGCAATACTGCTTGCTGGTCGTACTGCAGGCACATTTGGTTTAACATTAACACGAGGTCGACGAAAAGCCATGTTATATCTGAAAAAAATTCCATTGTTATTGCGTTCAAAGTTCTATTTTCTTAAATCTGCACCTAATCAAAACAATTACTGAGCAGTGGGAAAATACGATCGCCAATAAGTATACGAAAAAAGAAAAATTTCACCATCACTCGTTTTCTTTTCTGTTTCTGAGTCATAAATGACTTCTCCATTGCACTTAGCTCTTTTATTGGTTCATCGCATCCACCAATCAGATGTTGACTTTGAAAATCGAATTTCACATTACTTTTCTTTAGTAACCAATTATTCTTGAAAAATGATTATTCAATCACTTCTAAGGATTTATTGTCAAATTAGATTTGCACAGTATCTCCTTCAAGTTCGTATAGAGAAAGAAAATCGACCCCGATGTCTGTATTTATTCTTTAGTTTTTTGCAAATATAATCATACCTGATCATGATGCGAACGTTTTCTACCCACCGTCATGGCCATCAGCAGATCAAACACTAGTTGACACATCTATCGAACGATTTTTCTCCGGTTTACGTCGCTGGGATGCTGTACATTTCCTTCACATAGCCAGATATGGTTACATCTATGAAAATTCTCTTGCATTCTTTCCAACATATCCACTAGTATTCATTCGTCCATTTGCTTATTTATTAAATTTAGTTCTGCAAGAATCCAATTCTTATTTATTAAGTTCAATTTTGATCAACTTCTTCCTAGGATTTTGCAACACATATTTAATTTATAACATCGCTTTGAAATATAATCTAACATCCAACCATGCTTATTGGTCTGCAATACTTTATATCATCAATCCAGCAACGATATTTTTCCTTGCTCCATATTCTGAAACGTTATTTCTGTTCACTCAATTATTAGGTCATTACTTTTTACAATCTCATCGTGTATTCTATTCGTATTTATGCTTTGCATTGGGCTCGACAATACGTTCGAATGGTATCGTTTCATTCGCTTTTATCGTCTATTATTACCTACGGCAGAGACGAATCTTTCCATTATACTATCTTATTCTTTTCATTTGTCCATTCCTTATGACGCAATACTATTTATATAAAGAATATTGTTTCGAAAAGAAAATTTCCTTCGAATTTCAAATCTATGGGTCTCAAAATAATTTGGCCATGCCGTTAAGTAACTTGTCATCGGAATGGTGTAGAAAAACACTCCCGCTCTCGTATCAATACGTCCAGAAAACGTATTGGAATGTTGGTTTTTTGAGATATTACACTTGGAAACAAATCCCGAATTTTCTATTAGCTATTCCAGTTTATCTTCTCATTAGTAAATCGATAATCACCTGGTTTCAATTGATTAAACCAGATCTCTGGAAGAGAAAGTTCGATTTTTTATTTACAAATAAAGCCGACGAGAAAATCAACATTTGGCTGGCGAGAAAAGATCTTCTTCCTCACGTTATTTACATCTTATTTTTAAGTTGCTTTGCATTACTCGTCATGCACATACAAGTAGCAACACGTTTTCTTTTTTCCAGCGGACCATTCTTATATTTGATCTCTGCCGATCAACTCAAACAAGACGATATAAAAAATGGAAATCTTAGAAGAATTCTTTATTTATTTAAGAAACAAACATTTCTTTTCTATTACTATATGACTTATGTGATTATTGGAATTTGTCTTTTTTCAAATTTTTTACCATGGACATGAGGCATACAGTAAACGACATGTCGAATTTTTCTTGTAGATATAATCAATGACTCGAAATACTACAACGAGTCATCGCCGACGGGATGATCTCAACGATTATTGGCTCGAAAAGATCGCCGTGGAATCTAAAGTAATGGAACGTATTGTTTGAGTCACGTTGAAAAAGATCAATGTGTCTTTAGACTGCAGAAGAAATTCGAGCACATACAGTTCCGGAAAACCTTTCGCCAGTTGCGAAAACATTGGCCATGCTAGAGTATGTATCTAAATATTCATTTGATCAGTTCTATTCGTGTCTATCTAGTTCTCAATCGGATATTCAACGCTTGGCGGGTATTCGTTCAGTACCAACGATTGTAATTTCATATCCCATTGAAAGCTTGCAGCAAATACTACCGAAATTTAAAGTAGGTTTCGTGTATTCGGAGGGCAAAATCCTCATAGATTTATTGTTTTAGGCAATCATTGAACAGTCAGTTGATAGTGAAGAACACACAGTTGGTGCTGAAGCTATTGTATTGATGATTCAACAACAAGCATTGTCATATTCCGACTTTATGTCTTACTTTTCACAAATGATATGCGGATTTCTGTTTCCGACAACTACAAATCGTTTTACCATAGGTAAGTGATGAATGATTTTCATCTCGTGAGAAAATTCTTGTTTCTAATCAGATTTCGGTGGTATATGGTGCCAAGCATTATGCAATACGATCGATGCCTTTCCAAGTTCAACATTATTCACTTCGGTACGATCATTATAATTTCAAATCATGAAAAATATCCTATTTTAGTTGCTCGATTTGATCTTCAACCGTATTCTACACGGCTCGTATGTTCGCGATCGCTTAGCTGTCATTCTAGCGAAACTGTCATCTCGATTACCGTCACAAGTGTACGATACAAAAAAAAACGAAGAAAGACAAACTTTTACCGTTTCTTTTACTCTAGAGTGGAAAATCGTCTACTACCTGTGTTCAAGAATTTCATCAACGATACCAATGCTGATATTCGTGCACTTGCTTGTGAGAAACTACCAATTCTGGCGCAATCACTAGAGTAAACTGTTCACCAATACATTGAATTCTTTGGTAAAGATTTTGTTTAGGTCTGATATAGTATCCACATTAATTCTACCGTTACTTGTCATATTATCCAAAGATGAGAATCTGACTGTCCGTCGGACATGTTTAGAATCATTGTTGACACTTCACAACGAATTAAACGAGCCGAAATGGAATGAACAAGTGCGAGAAATGATCACTTCTCTTGTCAAGTTTGGTTTGTCATCAAGAACATCAACATATCTGACAAGTATTGCCGTACATCTTCCTGAGATATGTCATGCGTTTACTAGTAAGTTAAAGCTAATTACAAATATTGTCTTTCATCTTATACTTTTCTGTCTTCAACAGTTTTTAATGTTAATGAAGCAAGTTTTATTCAAGAAATGTTTCTACGGCTAACTCAAGAAAAAGTAAATGATAACTGAATTTCACTTTTCGAAATATTCTATTTCTATCTCTATAGAACATTCCAGCTTGTCGCTTGGCATGTGCGAAGCATTTCACGGTAGGAAATATCTTTTCCATCAGATCGGTGAACGATTTTCTTCCTGTATTTTAGTCAGTCGCCGATTATCTCGACCACGCACGATTTACAAATGAATTAGAAGATATATTTCTTCGTTTTTGTAAAGATAATGACGTGAACATTTGTTCAACAATGCCATCGACAATAATTACTGTAAGTAGAACAGATTTCTTTGAAGCTTTTCTTCAATACCGTTTTCTATAGGCTTGATTTTTAGCTTGCCAAACTCTATTGTCATAAGAATGAGAAAAACGATGTGTCAATCATTTGGAATGGGTTTTTGACGTTATTGGAGAATATTAATCATGATGTGATGTTTGCAATAGCAAGACACTTGCTGGATATTTTTAAGGTTTTTTCACGAGATAAAAGCGAAGGTTTTATCAATGGAACAATTTGTTCAACATCAGCAGTAAGAAAGCAACTGGGATAGAAATTGTCGAATTTGTTTGTGTATTTCATAGGTTCCTGATCCCGAAATATTTGTAAACACTCTTCTAGAATATGAACGGCGGATATTTGAAACGACACTTTCATGGCGCTCGTATATTTTATGTCTTCAAGCATTCGTTCATCTACCGTGTTTATTATCAAGTGAATTAATTCAAACGAAAATCTTACCACGTATCTTTTCACGTATATTTACTGTAATTAGCTGATTCCAGTTTTTCGTTCTTCCACTTATCTCATTTTTTGTGTAGAGACAAGTCTGTGTTCGTGAAGTCGCCGTGGACAGTTATGTTCAATCATTACGAAAAATACCTCGTCGATCAGTAAGAAAAAATGCCTTTCAAAAACTGAAGACTGATCTACTATCGAATAAATCCTATCAATGGCGACTCATGTATATAACAGTTTGCCGGCAAATCCTTGTACATTACTCGAAACGCTTTTTCAAAGAGAATTTTCTCGAAACCGTACTTTCTATTGGATTCGATCCAGTTCTCAATGTTCGTATTCAATTCATTCCATTACTAATCGAAATCAAATCTATTCTTCGTCTACCAGCTGACCGTCAATCTATCTCCAGGATTGAGACGATGATGGGATGTTTTCTTGCCTCGAAAACGATCACATTACATGATCTGGCCAATAATGGTCTCTTACAGCTAGACCAAATTCGTTCCTATAAACCTATTTCGGTCTTCTCAACTCATTCGTCCGATGATGAGAACGACCAAAGCAAAGAAAACGAAGAGGATCTTCTCGATGAACTGGATTCGTCATCGCGTCGTTCATCGAACAAGTCCAACGAACAATACGCAATAACGAAACGTTTAACAGATACAACGATATCAAACAAACCGAATCCACCCGTCAAAAGTCCTCAACTATCGAAACCCTCGTCGGATGAACAGCATCGACGATTATCTGTAACTAAACAACGGCGTCGTCAATCACTTGTCGACAGCACAGCACCACGTATACCACATCAAACGACAATCAAAAAGAATATCAAATGTATGAAAACGATTTTGAAACAAAAAGACGAGTGAATATGTTTATTTTCACACTTCTCTAGAAAATAAAACTGAATCGATGTCATTTAGTGCAATATGATATCTCCTTTAATTATTACAATTGACACACGAATGATGGACATTCAACTGATTTTGTGTTCTATTTTCAGCAGCAATACCAATGATTTGAATGAAACAAATTATGTTGTGAAACTTCTCTTCTTGTCGGATTTTTTTCCGCTTCCACCCTTCCATGATAAACAATCCTTTCAAAACCATGCTAATATTGTTTTCTCTATGTGAAGCAACGCTTTTCTACTTGAATGACTATAATTTCTTTTTCTTTCTTCTTTAAAATAAATCATTCGATTACATGATCACTTGATGATTATTATCATTGACACATTTGCTTCCCATTACCTAACATCGGCCATGGCAGTCGAATAAAAATAACTTGGTAAACTGAGAAATAAAGATATATAAATAATTGTTTGACGTCAATCAGTGAGTGTAATGTCCCCTTTGACGATTGAGAAAAAGATCACTCGAATGATAATGACACAGGTAAGGTCGTATAAAGCATATCGTCTATTAATATTCGCATGTTAGAAAAATAGTGTGGTATCATTAGTGATTTTGATTTTCAGGAAAAAACTTTACAAGAGAAGTATTGCGTGTATTCAACAATGGATTCCAAACGACGTTTTAACACACATTTACAACCCATACCTTATGGTAAGTACATTGACTTCCACCGTACTCATTCTAATCTAGACGGGATATCTCTCGTAAGCGATAAAAAAAATGCTTTTCTTAGTTAAAGATTAAATGTAATCGACTAAATTCGTCCGGCCTTGAAGAACGAAATTTCGTTGTTCGAATAATTGTACACATTATCGTATTACAATTTCAAAGGATTCGATTAAGACTTCATATGCACTGTGTTGACTTGGAAATGTTTTCAACGTGCAACATCACTAAAAGTACATTAGGTTTTAATGAGAGTAGAATGAGTTGTTTCATTAGATGAAATATATGTGTAGCTGGCTATGCTTTGATACTTAGCATTTGAGTAATGGATTGGTAATGATCATTAACCTTGAGAAACTGTTTGATTCGGTTCCTTTTCTTGGCTTATGTGTAGATACGAAAAGACAATTCGACAACATATTTGTGTAAAAGGTAGTAGAAATCGATTTGTTGAGATTCGAAACATTTCTCTTGAAAGTAAATGCTTGAAAGATAAGGAAAATGTCGATAATAATTTCAATTGAATGTCAAAGACAAGTGCGGACATTTGAAACCTAAGAAAATAACGAAGAAGAAACCGAAGCGAAAGGACGTCGATTGACGTTTTTGTTTGATAACATATTTGATTAAGAGTTTTTCTTTATGTATATAAAGCTTAAGATCATTTTTTGTTTTTCATTCGATCGCATAGAGAAAGAGAGAAGGATTTTCGACTGATTTTTAGCTTCTCATTTTGTTGATCGATTAAATAAATATATATATATACACTCACATTCCTATATAATGAAGTAAGTATATCATAATCTTCCAATTTCTTTTCTACACACATTCATATTCCAGGTAAATAGACGTTTTGACAGCTCTGAGAAGACTTTTTCAAATCATTTGCTGGATTAACGCGTTCACGAATATTCACCTCTCTCTCTTCTTTTTCCATAGGCGCAAACAACAGGCGTCACTCCGACACGGACACAATGATGAGACCAGTACATCCAACCGGTTCGACAGAGGTAAGGTAAGTTTCTAGTTGCGACTGCTCTGGTGAAACCATCTGCAAGCATTTGTCTTTTAAGTGAAAATTTTTTCCAAAGAAAAACACGCATAGATATTTCTTTTGATGAAACGAGTCAAGATAATTTATCTACAAGGATGCCATGAGTAATTGAAAGGACACCCACATATTTGGATTGCTAGTCAAGGTCAGAGGCAAGAAAATAAAGTCAGCTGCTCTTTTAATCTTTTATTTTAATATTCATATAAAATTTTATCGATGATGTTGAAAAGGACTAGTATTTTTGGCCCTCAGGTATTCCAGATTTCATTGAATGAACCATCCGTTTTTTTTCGCATATTTTTTCTAGCCAACTCGACCGCCATTTCATTTGGGTTTTACAGAAACGGATGTGCCACAATTATTCTGTCAATTGGATGTACTTCGTCGATCTGAAGAAGCAGAATATGCCTATTGGAAAGAGAAAGCACGGTAAGGATCAAATATTACTCTTACTAATGTTCTAGTTGATTTCTTTCAGTTGGGTACGTTTCGAAGAAATAGCAGAAAGTGTTCTTGGTCGTTGGTCGAAACCACACGTGGCAACATTGATGCAAACAGCTTTGCTAGATTTGAAGAATTTAATATCGTCCGGAATTATTTTACTTAACGTTCAACCAATTGATTTAGCATTTCTTTCACGTAAAAGCAATTTGTGCATCGAAGTTAGATTTATCGTTCTTTCGTCTTTGTAGAAACGATTGTTCAAGCATTGATCGACGCTCAATATCTTGATGATACGGCCCATGCGCAAAAGCTTAGTTGGATTCTTGGTTTGCCGCATTTTCATCATCATGAGAAACGTTCTGTAACAAAAACGGCGAGTTCTATCAGTTTAACAAAACAAGGTCTTCATGCAAGTCCAAGTTTTGTCATCAGCAGTCTTTCCCGACGAGGTTTGTTTAAAGCTCTGCGAGCTTTCGGCATAAATTCTATTTTTCCAACAGATGATGAATCGGATACCGCTCAAGATATGTCAGCACCGCGTTTGATTAATAGTAAACCGTCAAATCAAGATATGGTATTGACCGAACGTGACGATTTGAGTACACCAACAACACCGTCCGCCAAGGTAAGTACTTCTCTTCCTTATCTGTACGAAATTGACGAAGAATTTATTGGCATTAGGATTATAATACAAAATTACAACGAAAACTCAGCCGAAAAACAGAAGGTGCATCGATTTTAATATGTCCAGTCGATTTTGTTAAAGAACAAACCATTGTCTTCGTCCGTTTGGAAAACGCTATTGAATTACTAGGAATGCTTGAAATCAAACTCTACTCTCGTTTTATCGTTCTTCTCATTGGCCCTGAGGAAAGCGAAAAACAACTATTACAAATCGGACGAACAATGGCAACGATTTTAACTGATGATATCTGCAGAGAGTTTGCATACACAGCTAGATCTTCGGAAGACGTTATGCAAATGATGGATCGATTTATGCAAGATACATATGTTATTCCACCGTCAGAATGGGATCCATCAATTCGTATTGAGCCACCACCGAAATACATGAGCAAAGTAAGATTGAATGGCGAACTTTGTGATAGATCCGTGTGTTTCTTGTAGGAAGAACGACAATCTCAAGCACCCGATGAGAAAGCAGGACAAGTCGAAGAGATTGATTTAACTCCACATGCGGATCCGAATTTAGTAGCATCGAAAAGGTAACTAAATACATTACTTTTCTTCTCAACTTCGAACACTCTTTCCTTTTAGGCCGTTTTACGGTCTTTTTGTCGATATACGAAATAAACTGCCGTTTTATCCGTCGGATTTCACGGATTGTGCTAGTTTACAATGTATAGCTGCTACACTCTATCTCTATCTAGTATGTCTTTGCTCAGTAGTAGCATTTGGTGGCATGCTCGGTGCGGCAACAGATAATTACATGGTAAGTTGCATGTCTTCTCTCGTATTTTCTTCAAAATATCTATTATTAGCCATGAGAAACTTGAAAGCTTTGTACTTTTTATATTTGCCCAATTATTCCGTTTTTTCAAAACCGCATTAGTAAATACTATTTATGTTGACATACCGACAAACAGCTGACACACTTTCTCATCTAACTCGATTTTGAAAGTCAACATATCCAGAAATAACTAAAATATCGAGTTCATCAATATACTTCGATAAGCACTGAATATCTAAAAATAATTTCAAAATAGAACATTTCTTCCATTTATGATTTTATCAAAGCTAAATGAAACGATATGTGTATTTCTTAGGCTACAATGGAATGTATTCTCGCCGCGTCAATTAGTGGTGTTCTGTACGCACTGTTTTCTGGTCAACCGCTAAATGTTCTTTCAGCAACGGGTCCGATGTTAATCTTAGAGCGTATTATCGAACATCTTTGCAAGTAACGAGAGAGATTTTTTGTCACAGATAGTTTCAAATGCATAGTATTATTTTCCAAGGGATCATAAGATCAATTTTCTCGAATTTCGCTTATGGATTGGCGTTTGGATCTTTTGTCTCTTATTTATCTTTGTCGCATTCAATCTGAGCTTCCTCGTCAAATACATTACACGTTTTACCGAAGATTGTTTTGCATCGTTAGTTGCTCTAATCTTCATCTATGATGCCATACGAGAAATATTCGGTCTTCGAAAGAAATATCCAATTAATTACGATGCTGATGTGCCATTAAACTATACGTGTTTGTGTACGTTTAATACAACTCAGAAGAAAATATGGACAACCATTCTTGGTGCTAATAGCTCTTTATTGAATTCTACAACATTGAATGAAACTGGTAAAATGGCGTGCAAAAATGTCGGTGGACAGATTTCTGGTCCAGGTTGCTCATTACCAGCTTATGAACCAAATGTGTTCTTGTTTTGCGTACTTCTTTTTCTTTTTACTTTCTTCATTTGTATGACTTTGCAAGAATTTCGACAGAGCTCATTCTTTCCAACGAAAGTAAGTGACAAACGTAACATTCGGAATAGAATATGTGCACATTTCTATTTAGATTCGAACAATTCTTGGCGATTTTTCTGTCTTAATCGCTATTGTACTTATGTCAGCGTGGGATACATATCTGCATCTGAATACACCGAAATTAAAAGTACCAACGGAACTTAAACCAACGCGACCAGACGAGCGTGGATGGCTGATACCATTTTTCGGTCAGAATCCCATTTGGACAATACCGATAGCCATCATTCCAGCTCTGATTGCCACTATATTGATATTTATGGATCAACAGATCACGGCTGTTATCATTAATCGAAAAGAGTTTAAATTAAAGGTAAATTTTCAAATGGATGACTCCTCGGAAGATTTTCTTTTTCTCTCGGTTTAGAAAAAACTTGGTTATCACTTGGATCTGTTTGTTCTATCGATCTCAATTCTACTTCAGTCATTGCTTGGTTTACCTTGGTTTGTCGCAGCAACAGTACTGGCATTGACACATGTCAATGCACTGAAAATCATGAGCGAGAATACAGCTCCAGGAGAAAAACCGAGATTCGAAGGAATTCTGTAAGAAATCATTGCGACTTCAAATCCAACCAAAAAAAGTATCTTTTATTTTCAGAGAACAACGCGTCAGTGCACTTCTCATGGCCATATTAACTGGACTTAGTGTATTTTTCACAAAAATCCTCAGTGTAAGCGTTTTGCGCCTATCCTCTCTTTGTAGATAAAAAGAAATGTATGTCTCATTGCACCACAAACGACTGGGTGTTGATCTCTCTCATGCACGTAATTTTCTACTTAGTTATGGTTATTTGCCTTCTGAAAAGAAGAAGTAAATAATCTATTTCTTTACTAAGCTCTAAGCTGTTTCTTTGAGCGACACGAATGTTCTCGTTTTAGTTTATTCCAATGCCGGTTCTTTACGGTGTATTTCTGTTTATGGGTGTTTCGGCTCTTCGTAACATGCAAGTACGTAACATACAGTCAAATTTTTTCTCAAAATTCAGATCATTCAACCTAGATTTTCGATCGAGTCTTATTGATATTTATGCCTCAAAAACATCAACCTGATCATCCATATTTACGTCATGTTCGTATCAGTCGTGTTCACTTGTTCACAGGTATCCAGATAATCTCACTCGCTGGAATGTTTGCCGTCAAAAGCGTGAAATCAATCGCTATCGGTTTTCCATTATTGGTGAAAATCTCGTTTGATGAAAGGAAATGTTCAGTGAACTTCTCGGTATTTTAGGTCCTTGCAACATGTTTCGTGCGTAAACTAATGGATCGGGTATTTACACAAGAAGAACTTTTCTGGTTGGATGATATTCTACCAGGCAAGAACATGGGTCGCGTTCGTCGTTTATCTGCGACACGAAATGTTCATATACCGAAATCAGCAAGCGATATTCGAAATGACGAATCGTTAACAGTACGTCACATCTGTTCGGCATTTTTGATTGATTTTTCCATGAAAATCCGTTTCAGCCTGCGCTAGATAGCCTTGATATGAATCCGTTTCGAAACACAACAAATAATTTGCGAAGTATCGATGAGGTCGGTCGATAACTGATGATTCTCACTTAGAAATGCATGAGAAAGATGCACGCAAACACAATTGATCTTTTTTATATTCAGTGTGCATGAAAAATTCATTTCTCCTTTCATCTAGGTTATAAAAGATTCATCAGAGAAACAAAATTATATGGATAATTCTCATTCACCAACAAGTGATTCCGATCCATCACGCACCCCATTGATTTTCGTCACAGAAGCTAATGCACCTGATGAAACAGCGCTAGATTCAAATGTAAAGTCTTTTTTTCATTCCTTCCTTTCTCACTTCACTTTCCAAATTGCCAAAATCATTCGTCAAATGACTGACATATGCATGTTATTGCTTGTAGGCTGCACATTCACGTCTAAAGAACAAGCGAAAATCCAATGATACACCAACGGTGACATTCGTTGCCGGTCATCCCGAGGATGATTAACTCTCGTTTGTAATCAGTTCGTTATGCATGCACTTTTCTTCTTCTTCTTCTTTCGCTTTTTCACTCGTCATGAAACAGACTTGAGAAATTGACAAATCTTCTTTATCTTTTAGGAAGAAACTGAACATCTAGTGAATCGCGAACTTTCATCTGGTCAATATGGTGATGTTAATGGAACTGTGAGATATAAACCTGGTGCCACATCGGTATAACAACACATGAACGATATCTTCCTCTCTTTCTTTGATGCTATAATTTTTTCTGCTTCTTATACAAGTTTATTTTCTAATCTCTTTTTTCGATTATGTAGTGAAATCACACAAAAAGCTTCCGTCTTGAAATCGTTTTTCATCACAATTAATATTATATATCGTTTCTTTTCTTTTTTGGAAAAATAATAGTTTACATTAGTCACGATAGACTTGATTTAAAAGAAATTATTCAATAGGATGAAATGAATCGTTTTCAGACAAACGAGTTAAATCCACATAGGGAGAACAAAAAAAACTGTTAAGTACTAGCACGTGCTGAAAAAACATCGGCTCATGATTCGAGGCCAATCCTTTCAACAACGATTTTCATCATGAATTATCTGTCGTAAGAAAAATTTGTTTAAAATCAGCATTTCCGTGTTTTTTTGCTCTCGTACGAACATAAGAAAAACGTCAATTTTTATCGGTGTGTCGGTCAATCTCAAAGTATACTAAATTCACTAAACTAATGAGATTTTTACGATGAAATCGCATAAGAGAAAGAACGGAAACAATCAATTCTATTAATAGTGCTGGAAAATTTCAGGAAAATAAAAAAAAGATCCTTTCAAAACGATGAATTATTCAATTTCAGCATTCCTTCCCCTCCCCAACGATAAATCATCGAGATAAACAGAAAAATATGAACATACTCTCTCTGAATAGATCGGTGATTACCTGACGTTAAGTGTCACAAAAAGGCACTCCCCTCTTATGTCGTCATTGATGTCAGACTATATGATTCGACAATCATTATCAGCTAACCGATTTAAATAAATGATCGTGCATAACAAAACGATTACATATCAAATAGACTTGATCAAGTATAGTAAACATTCTTTAGCATTCGACGAACGCAGTGTGAATGTAATCAGGAAAATGGGGTCAAGTTCTTTTTTTTGTACAGATCAATCGAATTTCGCGATTGTCGGTATTCGAGAGAGGAAGTGTGTGTGCATTATTTTGCAAGATTGAATAATCTGTGTGTTGAATGATATCCAAAACATTGGTTTTTATGAAAAGAATGGCAAGATGAGGAATGCCGTTTGTCTTTCGTTTTATTAATCAAATTGACAAAGATAAGTTCTTTTCCGGTAAAGTTTTTTGAAACGTTCGTTTAACCTCTTCTTTTGTTGTCGGTTGTATTTTTTCTGTTTATTAACTAGAGCAAATACACTGTTCAGAAAAAGAGAGAAATGTTACTTCGAAGAAAAAAAAAGATTATTAATGCGAACACATCTTCTATTCCATTTCTCTTCTTTTGAGGCTAGTAAAAGCGTTCGCTTGATTCAATAGATTAGTTGTTTCGATGAGCATGAAAAACAACTGCCGATGTTAATAAGAGAGAAATACGATGAATGATAATATTTCTCTGTTATCAGAATAATTAGAAAGCGTCTTGTTTCTGTCGTGTTCATTTGTCAGGATATTCTTTCAACGGGACTGACTTGTTTTTCCTTGGCGTATATATCTGTTCGTAATAACATTGAATTGATGTGTTCACTTATTTATATCGGATTCTATTTCTTTAACGAACCATAGGAATCTTTTTCTTCCTTATTCTTCTCTTTCCTCATCTCGAGGTTTCCATCCTCTCACTTCCCGTTCGCTTTCTTGTCTGCTATTATTCAATGTTGCGAACAAAGAAGAAGAAGAAGAAGAAGAAACGGAGGAAAGAAAACGCTACGCCTGAACCAAGAAAAAGCAAAGTCTGCTGCGAGAAAGAAGAATCGATGGAAATAACAAAAAAAACGACTTCTATCGAACTAAAGCAATATAGCAGCGCGCAGAATAACGATAGGAAGATGTGCGTTCTTTTTTTTTCATTTACTCACAGACGCAGCGCCACACTAAACAGCATGTCGGACCTAAAAAAACAACGCGTAGATTGTTTGTTAAAAGAAAGGAGACTTTTCCTTTGCTCTTTTTTTTTCAACTCAAATATATTTTTTCTTTTTCTTGCAGTCAAGTATTAGGCGGAGAAAATTTGTTGATTATTTTCTTTGAATAGAACGTTGAAGTTCAGTCGATGTTTAATGTTGGATTTTCGAACATCTTTCAGATCGATTTCAATAAGAATAACGTTTCAAAATGTTGCCCGGATTGAATCAAAGTAGTCTTAGTCAATCGTCAATTAACATGTCATTATTTGCGACACTAATGACGAAATCTTCAGCAAGTATTACCACAACAACTCCAGGACCGATTCCACTGGAAAATCGGCCACTGATCATGACTACATTCATATCTCTCTATGTCTTGATATTCTTCTTCGGTATTACGGGAAATGCACTCGTCATTCGTAAGTTTTGCCTAATCAAATCATCTCAGTAATGAGATTCTCTCTATGTAGTTGTCGTCTGCCGAAATAAAGCCATGCAAACGGTAACCAATGTCTTTATTACAAATTTAGCTCTTTCGGATATTTTAGTAAGAATATATTTATTAAAAAGGAAATAATAGATCCACTTAACTATACTTTTACCTGCTATAGATGTGCTGTTTAGCAGTACCATTCACTCCAATATCAGCCTACGGCAATACTTGGCACCTTGGCAAAGTTTTGTGTCATCTTGTGCCCATGTCGTTGGGAATCTCAGGTACTGTGAAGGATCTTCTTTCGGCTTTATTCTTTTTCTTCTTTGTTCTTATAAGTCTATGTTTCAACGCTGACATCATTAGCTATCGCTGTCGATCGCTATTTTGTTATCGTTCATCCATTCCGTTCGCGAATGCGCTTAGGTGTATGTATATTATTGATTATTGTTATTTGGATTGTTGGCATCTCGATATCATTACCATTGGCGATCTATATGCGGTTTGACAATGGTAAATGTGAAGTAAGTTCAAAAAAGAAGTCGAAGTTATTTGGAAAATTTCCGTTGGGTTTTCCTAGGAATATTGGCCTCAGTATACATCTCGACGTTTCTTTAACTTTTCATCTTTAATCTTGCAATATTTAATCCCATTCTCCGTGATTTCATTCAGTTATTACAAAGTTTGGGTTGCACTTGCACGTCGTTCGTTACCCGGCCGTACTCGTTTACGTGAGGAGGTGGAAATTTGTCGGAAAAAACGAACAAATCGTATGTTAATTGCTATGGTTGTTATCTTCGCACTATGTTGGTTACCATTAAACATTGTTCATATGGTTGCTGAATTCCGTCGTCCAACACTAAACCATTACAAAGTACTTTTTCTCAGTACACACGTTATCGCCATGTCATCAACAGTTTACAATCCGTTCTTGTATTCATGGTTGAACGACAATTTTCGCAAGGAATTTCAACAAATCGTACCATGCTTATTTAAAATATGCTGGTGTTTAAGTCGCCGTCGACCGAATCATCCTTCAACGCAGTTGACTAACATCGCTGATGGTGAATTTTATGACCGGCCATCGTCGTATCAAATGCCCGCCGAATCGACCATTGCCACATATACTCAAACGTATTCTCACGTGAAAAATTCTTCCTCAAATGGAAAACTAAACGGTGTCCCGATGAAAAAACTCGCCAACCAGGAAGCAAGTCTTCTCGCCAATGCTGATGATACATCTGCACATTTGAACTCTCAACAAGAAACATTGTTTATGTCAACACACCCGACATCAAATCATACTTGACATCAAGATTTTTTTCTATTTGTGCCTTGTCATATTTAAATAAAAAACAATATCAATCATCGTTTACGTGATTTCTTTTCCTTCCTCTCTGTCTCTATCTCTCTATTTTTTGTTAGTTGCTTTTCCTAATGAAATAAATAACATTCATGTACATTTGTCATGATTCGATTAAACGGCGAGATTAGTTTTCGACTTATTCAATAATTAATCGAAGATTTTCTCGCAGAAAGCGAAAACTATTTAACTAGTGCGAATAAGTCTCTAGTTAGTTTGTGTATCCATTTGACCGAATATGTTAATATTGAGAAAAATAATCGATTTGCATTCATTGAGTGCGTTCTGTTTCTTCTGATCTCACGAGTGAATTTCGAAACCAATGAATCTTTCTTCTATTCAGCATCTTAATTAGTATTCCGAACCATATTTTCTCGAAGAATCCCATCTAATAGAGTCGACGAATGTTATCAATAGTACATCTTCATAGGAAATTCGTCGTCTTCTTTTCTCGACGTCATCGTTGATAATTCAAATGAATAGACAGAATGAGTAGCAATTAATAATATATAAAAGAAACACTTCGAGAAAGGACCTTCCATGTCAAGTAGATGAATTTTACAGAGTCAAGTTTCCTCTGCTAATAAGTCACCTTTTCCTTCTCCAAGAATTCATTTCAATCTATTCAAGTTAATTAAATCTTCTAGTAGCTGATGAAAATTAGAGGTTGACGTCTTGTCGGATATTATCCACTGATTATCTCGTACTTAACGAATCGAATGAAAGTTGGATTGCATGATTAATCTAAAGATTAACTACTTGAGTATTAAATACATGCTCATCTATGTTAATTGACGAAATATTCTTGTTTCTTTTTTGTCATGAATATATTTTCGAAAAGAATAGAGAATTCTAGTGGATATTGTTTTTTTTTGTTCTTTCGATGGATGCAAATAGTCATTGACAAAGACGAAAACAAATATCAAATTTCTTTACTTTGTAATCTATGCAAACGGTTGATACAATTACAGAGACGAGGAAAAAAACAACGAAACCAGATGAAATGTCCGCTTCGCGTTTCAGTCTCACATCCGATTGTTTCGTTTAATAAATTTCAGCTGATTCATAGTAGAGATTATTAAAACAAATCTTCTTTTCCACTTTCCCCATGCCCTTTTCTCTTTCTCGAACGGTTCTTATGAAACGTTTGGCTAGGAATACGTTCTCCCTTTCCTGTGTCGGTATTTCTCCAATGATTATTCACTTCATAAAATAACACACGGAAAGAGAAAATCGACATCGATTTGAATATGCAACGATCGACCAGCGAATACAATATTTTCAAAACAAATGCATATACCGATAATGATTCAGGCATTAGTGCTGATTATGATTATTCATCATCAATAAGCGATCTTAATTCATCGATCATGGCACGTGATAACTACCAACGATCAAGAATGCCGTCGACACCGTTGGTGAGATTTATATACAATGGAAATGTTCAGCGCATTCGTCCGATAACGATGAGGAATAGTGAAAATGGAGATTACATCGTTTGCAATACGAATCGCGGAGCGTATGTGGCTTATCGAACACCGATCGTACCTGCATGGGTTACGCGACTTGTTCATGAAATTGAATCTCGTGGAGGATAAAGTGCGATGAGAAGAAAAACAAAGTTGCCGGGAATGCTTGAAATATTCTTACCGTTAATTAATAAATATAAACATAGAAAGGTGTTTCATTATTTATGTTAATTTTGGATATTCTATGCATGTGTGTGCGGAGGCATTGCGTGATGTATTTCAGAGTAAATATAATTAAATATATGCAGTGGAAATTATCAGAGAACTAAATTTAAACAAAAGTCTGGAGATGAGTCGTTTCAAAAAAGGCGTTTTACAGTGTTGAGTATGATATTCATGAAGAAATCGATCTGATTTATGTTAATAAATACTTTTTTTAATTAAAATTTCAAAACAGACAGAAACAAGAAGAATCTGAGCTTTTACAATTTTGACACTTCAATAAAATCTCATTCCTAATATTAAATTACACACATGCACATGTGAACAAGAGAGGGGGAGAAAACCAAGAAGACAAAAAAAGTTCTTAGCACAATGAGCGAAGAAAGAAAAACAAGAAGGAGAAAAAGAGAAAAACACCTGCTTAGAAAAATAGTATCAAAAGACGAGAAAAAAAAGAATATGTATGTACAGACAAAGAAATGATCATAGAAGCTCTAGCAAGAATTCGAATTTGTTTTCTGTTTTGTTCCTGTAAAACATCACATAAAATTCGCTTTGTTATCAGAGAATACTAATCTAGAAGTTTTCATGTTTCGAGTCGAACAAAAGAAGAAAACAAAGTCGTCACTGTGTTGACTAGATTTGCATATGTCAATGTCTCTTAGTCAACGATTGTCAAGATGAGACGAAATTATCAAATGAACCCAAATATTCCAATGCGGAACGGTAGCAAAATTGATATTGATCCTAGGAAAGAGAAAAAAGAAATATCTCATCGATGTTTTTCGTTCTGAAGATCTTTACCTCAGTTTGAACAAGTGCAGGTCGTTGTGTACGCAAGAGTTTCACCGTTTGAAAAACATCAACAACACCTTCGTATCGAATTCGTTCCAGAACAACACTTAATGTGAGAAATACACCTGTTCGTCCGGCACCTAGAAGAAAACAATGCGTATGAGCATTTGGAGAACATTTTTTTTTGTGTAAATCTTTACCAGCTGAACAGTGAACAACAATCGGACCTTCTTGACCGAAACCTTCTTTGGTCTTATGCACTTGTCCGATAAAATCAATAAAACCTTCGCCGACTTTGGGTACACCTTGTTCAGGCCATTCAGTGTACAAGAAGTGACGAACTGTTCGAGATTGTCCATCCTAGGAAGAAAAATTTCGCATAAAATTATTCTAATTTCAAGTTCATGTCATACTCGAGAGTCAGTCACTTTGAATTCACTCAATAGATATTGTGGCATGTTGTAAGCACCAACTGGATCGACAACAAAGTATCCATATCGTGCCGATCGATCTGTTGGCCAGTACTGAGTACATTTCTCTCTGCCCATTTCTTTTAGTTTAGTTAACATCACAATAATAGTGACGTTATGTTCCCAAACCATCCGCCAGAAGTCATCAACCGTTTCCGTCAATGGTCCTTGAGTTGCAATATAACCATTTTTAAATCGATAGCCCTAAACCATCATCGATGATCCAATCAAAAAGAACAGATTCAATTTTGGAAAAAAAACTTACATCGATGTAAGACGCATTGATATAATCTGAGCCTTCGACGCCGCGCACTGGAGATAGACATACTCGAGTATTTTCATCTGCAAAGACAAGAAGATAGTTAAGGTTTGGAAGATGTTGTAAACTTACAAGGAAGGATATTCACAAGACGATTTTTGAATTTATTCGCTGGATTATTCGCACTCAAGAACTTCGATGGTTGCGCTTTCACATTTGCCAAACGCTAAATGAGAAATTGTTCGTGAACGTCTTCGCTTTCTATTACAGATTCATTTACTTTAAATTCAAGTTCCATGTCTGTCAATGAACTATCATTTATTGGCTGTAGTAATCGTTGTAGATGTGTCAACAAATTTCTTGCTGGGACTTCTGTTTGACCTGACTGGATAGCTTCATTAATGGCTTCATAGATAAATATATATTGTTCTTCGGTTTGAACAATATAATTTCTATTTCATAGAATCAAATCATCGATTTATTCGTTCATTATCTTCGACAAATCTTACCGTTGAGCTCTCAAAAGAGTGACATGTCCGTAGATATCGATGGTTTTTTCCAATTTTAATCGTTCTAGTAGAGCATCCACTACAATAAAACAGCCAGTTCGACCGACTCCAGCCGAGCAATGTACAACTATCGGTCCAGCATCAACTGGATTAAGAACTTTAACACGTCGAACAAACATTAGAAACGATGTCGCATGTTCTAATATTCCATGATCTAAAAACAAAATGATCTTCAGATCAGACAACAAGCTCTGCATTAGCATTCGTACCTGGCCAAGCTGTGAATTGACAATGTCGCACTTCTCGTTTTTCTGGATGGCCAGTCTATAGATACAAAGCATTTTTTACAGTGACAATTGTCCTTGTCAGTCTTACCCAAGCAATTGTAAATGTTCGAATACTATACGATGATAGTTCAATAAAATCCGTTAAAGTAACTTGAATTGATCCATAGACTTCCGTTCCTCTCGATGGCCAATATTGATCACATTTCAATCGATTTCTTTCTTCCAATTTTGTCATCATTACAATACATGCTGAATTCGTTTCCCAGATCATTCGCCAGAAGTCGGCAAATGTGTTCGGCAAGGGCCCTTGTGTTGCGATATATGCATTTTGTTTTCGATATCCGTCGAGATAATTAGCATTGATATAATCACTGCCTGCAATACCATCGATAGCATGGAGAATTACACGAGAATGATCATAAGCGATCACATTCGCATAGCGATTTTTCGGTTTGTTGTACTCGAATTTAGAATTTTCCCATGAAAATTGTTGACCAGGATCGATCGACTAAAAGAAAGAACGGAAATACTAGGTCGAACGATGAAACGATAACTTACTTCGTATTCTTGAGAGAATTTGTAATTATCAGCAGCTTTCAATCGCTCGAGATGTTCACCGAATTCATCGATATGTATCGGAGGATGAGTATTGACGGGAACTTCTTTAGTAATCGTATGATATGTATTGGATGGTTGGGTTCGCCGAAATTCTACAGGTTCATTCGATGATGCTGGTGAAATAGTCGTTGGTATCATTGGCATTTGCATTTCCATTGTTAGAACTTTAGGTGTTAAATCGAATGGCACACATTCGGGTGGCGGTGTTAATGGTTTCTTTTTTGTTCGATTATATTTCAATATGAAGATGATAACAATCAGAAGGATTAAGAAAATCAAAACTATAATGCCAAATATCCAAAGAAGGCTATTGAATGTATCTTGATTTTGTGGTTGAACAATTTTTGGTAATAGATTCACGTCAATCGTTGCACTTGATGTTGTTAAATTTTCCTTTTTACGGTTAAAACCCCAGGAAACTAATTTGACTTTACATACGCTCGATAATGGAGAATTATTATAGACTCGATGATGAAATGGGTCCCAATCACGTGTTTCTTTACCATCGCCTAATACAAATACATCCGGTAACTGAGATTCATTAAATACCGCCGCTGTATAACAACATTCTTTCCGACCCTATAGAAAAATAAAGGCAACAGTCAATAAAACAACAGATGTGACTTCTTTGTTCGTATGTACCTCTTGCGGAACATATTGTTGATAAGATATATGCTCGATCAGATGAACAACAACATAGTATCGATCGATGGGTCCATTCTTTGTTGATGCACGATGGAGACGTAAATTAACTTTTGATGCCTGCGTTGGTCTGCCTGATGTTTGCAAAAGAATTCGTCGGTCTTGTTCAGGTCGATCAACATATGGAGGTGCATCGTAATCAGTAGACAAACGTATCGTTGCCGGTCGACTATAGATTTTAATGGATGATTGTTCAGATGATGAGATAGTACCAGTGAGATTGAATGTATATTGAGTATTTGGTACTAAGCCTGTTACTAGCCATTCACGCGAACCTTGAGTTGCAGGTATTGATATCAGACCAGCTAAGTTATGATGTGATGTACTACGTGTTGTTCCCAAGCCATCGACATAATTTTGAATTCCTTCGTAATGTACCTGAAAAGATAAATAGGAATCGAGACACTGTGGCTTCTTGTCATGAAGAATCAAACAAACCTCAAGTTTTTGTATATGTCGGCGATGATCAGGATTTGTTTCATTGAAAAAGAACAATAATTTCACACTATTAGATGTCAGGTCAACGTAAGTTAGATTGTATGGACGACTTAAATGGTCGTCGTAATGAATAATATCTTTGGAACCTAAACAAATGAATATTCAGGAAGATTTTACATAGGAAATCAGATCTACATAGTTCAATTGACAAAGGCGTTCTCTTTTCTGACAAGTTCTCGTCCTCCGTCAATCAATGTCGTCTGTCTGTTCATTTCTTTTTCTTGTCAAAGAATGTCATTCGAATGTTGCTGAAAATAATTTATCATCCCAACAGAAATCCTCCAAACTTTCCAATCGATCAAAATAATCGAACTAGTCGCTCGGATACCAGTACACCTATCAGCATGACTTGACATTCCATCATTCATCTATACATTCATTAACTTTGAGTCTCTTTTTGATCCGATCTTGACACGTCATGTAACTGTTCCTTATTCTCATGTAAAAGTAATTTTCTTCTATCATGCGTCTATATCAAAGTAACAGAAAGTACTCCGAGGCTTTTTCAATTACTTTCTATTCCTTTAACCTATTGTCAAACTGTTTGAGACTAACTTCAGTCAAAACTATCGATGTTCTTTCTAATTGTCAATGCATGACTTGGTAACAATGCTATTACCAGCAAGAAAATTGATTTCTTTCTTTTTGTCTGTGTCTGAACCATCTTTTCTTAATAGAATCGATATCGCAATTGAAAATATGTGACACTTCGTTCAGTTTTTTGATTTCATCATTAAAACCTAATCCATTTTTTCTTGTTCCATTAATTTTTCTCCTTAATCTCAAGGGATAAAGATCTCTACAACTGATTATTGATCTCAACGGACAACCTAATAGAATTGATGATTACTGTGTATGAGAATCTCTCCTAAGATTGATCATTCAGCTCGCTCTGCTACTGGTCAGTCGAATAGATCAATTTTACAGACCAATGATTACATGATAGACACATCATCACGTCCATCAGCAGACGGAGATCATTAAAAGAATATGCACATGACGAATCGATCACGAAGAGACATGTGCATATATTTATTTTTCGCTGTTAGGAATGCAAAGAACATCAATTAAGATCAGCAACATTTTTCTATCCATGCTAAACAACAACTCAAAACTGCCAAAATTTTCCTTCTACACCTTCGTTCTCATCTCTAATAACATACCCTGCTCGCTTTAAAAGAATTACTAGTATTTATTCACTCTGGTTAATTGAGAAGAAAAGAGACATGACATGCACAAGAAAAACCATTTTCTGTCATGCAATAACCACAAAAAAGACTTTCACAACTCGTAGACTTACGACGATAGATATCAGCAACCTGAATTTCCGACAATTCACCTTCCCGTGAGCTTGTGCCTGGTACATAATGTGGATCGTGAATATTTGCGGATGAAAATTCGGCGCTAACACGAACGTTATACATAGCATCAGGCTTCAACCCACTGATAATAGCTGACGTCGAACCGGGATTCGACGGTGAATATAATGACCATTTATTTTCAGCTTTATGATCAGCTTTATCATTGTAATGAATTATATACCGTGCTACTGTTGGATGATAAACAGGCGACCAGAAAACTTGAACTGTGGTATCATTGATACGGACGACACGAACGTCACGTGGCGCGGGATCTAGATAAATAAAAGTGTAGGTAAATATTTGATCGTTCAAAGAGTATCTTCTTCTTTCTCGTGTGTTTTGTGTCTTACAAGGTGATGAACGAGGTACTTGCGCATAATAAATATTTGGACGTAAAGTAGTATTCAACGTCGGATGAGGATTTATGAAGAAGAAAAGAAATATGAGAAGAAGAATGTGTTGAAACATGAAGTGAGGCATTAAAATAATACTTGGCTTGGTATTATTATCGCTGTCTTTATCATTATATAATAGACGTAAGTTGTTTCTATTCTTTAGTTTTAATACAATAATCTATGATGAAAGATTCATTGGCGTGGTCTTTCTTCTTCTTTTTTCGTTTCTTTTTTTTTCTTGTTTAATAATAACCACAGTAGAAATGGAGAAGTTGAGAGAGAGAGGGAGAAAATGAGAGGAAAAAACGATCAAATTTTACATCTGGGCAATGTCAAGAAAAGAGACTTTCTTTCATTGAACGTTCTTTCTCTCTTTCTCATTCTATGTTGCTCTATGTGCTTGCTTTGTTCTCGTTTCTTTCTTCAGGGCAGTTAATGCCATAGAAAGAAAAGAATAGGATGAAGAAGAAGAAAAAAAAACTAAGAGTAGATATCTACTACAACTATTCTCTTAGCCTTTTTTCTGTCTGCTTAGAATATGCAAACAAAAAAAAAGAAATGTGCTTTCGCTTCATGAAAGAAAGAAAGAGATGGAAAAGAATGGGAACAACAGAAGAAAAACAACGAGAAATTCTCGAATGTAAAAGCGTGATGAAGTCGAATCGTCTATCACACGCATGTTTATATATCGACATTCATCTCAAGAGATGTAATATGAAGCTGTACTCATGCACATGATCTGATTTCTAGCAAAGAAGATGCTCTTCTGATTTGCTTATCTGATTGAACATTTATATATAGATGAAGAACGAAGAGAAAATGAACAAAGATATCGATCCGATTGAAAAACCTTGGAAATTCTCGTTTTATATGTCAATCGATCATCGAAGCTTTTCTCCGTGTAACATCAATCAAACATAATAATAGCTGCCACTCATCTAAGTATATGCGCATGAATTTATGAGAGAACGTCGTTCTGTCAACATCAGTCTTTTCTTCTCTTATTGAATCCTAATATGTTTGAAGAAGTACGCGACATTAAATACATATTGATGAAAAATGACCGACTGAATCCTAATCGTTAAATATTCACATCTAAACTTACTAATTATATTGACATAAAATTGATATTCAATTTTCGACGAATTCTGTCCATTACGATCGGAACACAACGCCGAAAACAGCACGGTTTGATTGGGATGAATACCTTAATACCGAGAAGATGAAATCAATCGAACAAGAATGGAGAAAGTTCATTTACTATGAGGATCATTGGGATTGATTTGAAAATCCAACTTTTTGATTGAATTGTCGAATGATTGACTTTGAATCGTGCGATTTTTCGGTCCCAATTCTGTCGCAACAATGTAAACTCGATCGATGGCATTGACATTCGATGGTAAATCCCAGGTTAAACTCAATGTATGAGCGTTGACAACGTACGCAGTTAGATTACTTGGGATTAGTTGTCCTAGAAAAAAAATGAAAGATTTCAATGAGCGGGAACGAAATTTTTTTCTCTAAAATGAATGAAAAAGAACGAATCTGCCATTTCTGCTGTTTATTCGCAAGAAAATGCTTTCATCAAGTGGACATTTATCATTCAGCAAATCTTCTCTCGAATCGAAATGAGAAAAATTCTAATGCGATGCCGTCGATCAACGAGATTTGGAAAACTGAAGCCAAACTTCATTCATCGCCTCTCTACGATCTACCGTTGTGTTTCCACGAGAATTTCTTATCGAATCAACGAACTTTCACCGAAGTTTGACAGATTGAATTATTGAACTTAATCAAACATTTGAATTCGATTAGAGCAATTTGTCATCACGACAATCATATGAAAGTCTCATCAATCGCTTGCCCAGTCCACCAACGAGTGAAATTAGTTTTCAATTATCAATCAAGAACGATGTGAGTGAGAATGGTTTCTATGCCCAACAAAATCAAACCTTAGAAAGTCAACGTAATTATGTCTGACAATGAAGTTTCTCTTCATTGACCATAAGAAGTTATCCAAGAGAGAGAGAAAAAGATTCGACAGACGAGACGCTTTTAACAACAAAGAAAATTCAAGCGAAAATAACAGGATCTGTTTCCGGAAATAACTAGAGAGAAAAGCATTATCAACATCACGACTTCCATTAGCGTGTGGAGGAGTAGATAGAAGAGAAAAAAGACTTGGAAGGCTGTAAAATTAAACTTTTCAATGCGTAGCTCCCTTTGGAAATGCTTCATTTTAGAACTTGATGAACAAAATTCAACTAATGAAAAGACCTCGTACTGATCAGGCATGTCAATGTCAATTTTTAATTTCTAAGTTAAATTTGATTATTTAGTCGACTTTATCTCTTTTCTAAAACAACAGAACAATGATGATGATTCGTTTGATTCATTATCAGCCGAGAATTCTTTCACGATAGCAAATAAAAAGCTAGTAAATAGAATTTTCCTCATAGAAAATACACTCATCTTTGAGACATAATAGAAATCGATGAATGAAGGAAATTTTCTGAAAAGATCGTCTCGAACAAATGAAAAATCGCAATTATTCGACAAGAATTGTAATTACATTGCAAAACAAAGCGTGATTTGTTTCTCAAGTCTCTTCTAGTCAACACATCGAATCTTCAGTCTGACTTTTCTCCAATAACAATTACTCAATTCATTCAGGATATCAATACAAAACACGAAGCGATAATAGAGCCACCGAAACTAAATGATCCGCCTAGAAATTCTAAAGGAAAAAGTTCTTCTCACAAACAAAGAACTGCTCAATCACCATCAATTCCGAAATGTTTTCAATTGAATACGAATTCGAATTTCTATGAAAATCAACTTTTCCAATTAAATCTTTTCGATCCCGTCTTATTTCAATGGAAACTCATTCGTTCCAAGAACGAAATCCATGAATTTTGTCGAAAACAGTCATTTGTTTCGACAAATACGTCTCAAACTTCGATACAAGCATTGATAACATACATTCAATCACAACGACAATATGTTCCGGCAGACTACTCATCGTGGGATACCTCATTTCCGTCATATCATCCTTTGAAATGTTCTTTGAATAAAGTCTCGTCGTTCAATGAAAAATTCTTGATTAAAAATCCTCACGGGCGAACTGGTCTATCAGGTCAAGGTCTATTCGATATCATTGGTCCTAATCGTTACACGATCTCACTCCACCTTCAACGAAAACACCACAAGAATTATATTTTATTACTTAAAAATTCTCGTCATCAATATGAATTGCCGAAAACGAGTCCGATCAAGAAAACTTTCCTATGTCGCACCCTCGATGTCATTTATCTCGATCATCCACTGAACACCGACGATGCATGGATCGAAATGGAGATCATTCTGATTGAAAATTCTCGAATAAACTCTATGACTAACTCCTGGTTTGCAATCGATGATTTGTCTGAATGCAACGATATCGAACCTTTTGATTTGAATTTAATCAACTTTTATCTGTAGACTTCAAATCTAATGTCCATCAGACGGTCAATGATGCTTAAGGCTACTCTTTGCTCCATTTGACAATCTCCAGTAGTCAATACTTTCTTTGTGTCTCTCTGCTTCTTTTCTCGCTCATTCACTTATCGAATCTAGTCGATTTCCACATGATTTCTCCGGCACTGGCGAAAGTGAAGAAAAGAAAGAATTTGTCTAGTTTGTGATTTCATTTTCATTGATTAAATCTAGAAGAATGAGCAATAATGAATATTGAAAATCATCTTCGTCGCCTTTGTTGCTTCTATTTAAGAACATTGTATAGATCTATTTGAAGAATTTGATCAATCAAGACATTTTCTTCCTTTCACTTCATTCTCGATCAAGTGTCTTTAAGTAAAATATGAATTAGTTGGGTGTCTGTCACGCACTAAACAGAGAACGGCGACTTCCGGCAAGCCTACACACATGCTCAATTGAACATTACGATGACCAGTTCTATTTCGACAATCGTGACCTATGACATGCCGATGATGTAACGAGAAACAAAACAAGTTTTCCCAGCAGTTAAGAATAGTAAATTAGATACAACATCTTGTTTGAAAACATCACCAGCCGGACAACAGTCAATCGAGCTAACCTCATTAGACATTTTAGAACATTACACAACTAACACGCATGCTTTTCTTGCCGAAGAATTTCTAACTAACTCACACAAATGTATCCACCTGAATTGCCGATTGAACTCATTTATCTTTCAGCAGGATGTATATACACATTCATTATAGGAGAAAAAAGTCTCTACAAAAATAGACAATTATTGATAGACATCTCACCACCCTCCTACGACGACGCAATGCGCAGTAGAGTACGACTGACTAGGAGTAGTAGTAGTAGCAGCACTATGTCTTTGTGTGTGCGAGGAAGAAAAAAAGTCGAGCATTGCATAAGAACTTTCATTATTGATTTCTGTCTGTTTGGTAGGAGAGTAGTGCTATTGCTACTACTCCTAATAGTGATGAGCACACATCGGCAAGATAACGACGGATTCTTTCCGTGGAGTTTTTTTTTCTCTTCTTTATAACAATTATTGCTCTTCAGTATATAAACAAGGAAGAGAACTAAGGATATTTATGTGAAAAAAAAACGCTCAGAGAAAATAGAAGAAAAAGAAAACGTAATTTTTCTTCTCATTTTCTCGTTTTTCGAGCATTAAGGGCGTGTCTAAAGATCATCAAGATGATCAATCACTTTTCATCTATATACACGCTAAGTAATCTTTCATAACGTACATATATACTCGAATTATAAATAATAGAAGGTTAAGGCAAGGCAGATATAGAAGTGTGTGAGAGAGAGAGAGAGAGGGAGAAGAAAAAAGATTATGATGAGAATTCTTCATTTAATTCACTCACTAAAATCTTCTTTTGGAACAGTAAAGATATATGGCACACTTGGTTTTCCATCGCCTTTTTTCGTAAAGGCTTTCACTTGCGCATGATACGTCGTTCCAGGCGTTAAATTTCCGACGATATCCCAGTATCGAGTACCGATAGTTCCTTCATAGTTACGATGAACGATTGGTGGTTGCATTGACAAAGGTGCGAAAACGATAACGTAGAAACCTTTAATCATCCCACCAAGTAACGAGATATCATCGGGATTGTTGGTATCAAGTGGATATATCCATGATATATTAGCTGCTGTTTGATTGATCATATATGCGCTTACATTAATCGGTGCGACAAGTGGAACTAAAAATGATAGGATGACGAATATTGACCACATCCGCATACGAATTGCTTGACTGACTGGCTGACGTTGTTGAAAACAGATCGAGCAGATCTACGACAGCCAACTGTTTCTTTCTCCGCTTCTCCTCTTCTCTCTTTCCTTTCTTTACATCAACCAGCATCTATCCGAAATTATTTTCCCTTCTCCTTTTTGCTCTCTCTCCTCTCCTCTCCTCTCCATCTTGTTCTCCTCTCTCTCTCTCTCCGTTTCATACTTTACAATAAGCATCGTAGAGCACAGGAACAGTTTATTCCATTTATTTCGTCATCTTTTCTTCGATGACACAAAGACAACGACGACGACTTCTTCATTAGAAGATCTCCGCCCTTCTCTATTGCAAACGAGCAGAAGGGAACACACACATTTCAATACTATGTTATTTGAGAAATTATCTTTTCCGCCGATCATCCGATACGGAGTTTCAAGCTTAAAAAGCACGCTAACGATAAAATTAAGTTTTCCTAATCAGTTACTCAATTTTCTTCTTCTACATCGTCATCCCGGATATATTTATATGGAGATATTTCCATTCTTTTTACATATTTCTACGGTCTAATGATGATTATCAGTTGATATATTCAAGTGTTAACACATTCACTTAACTGAATGAAAGAACAACACATTTTTTTTACAAGAGAACTAGACAAGAAGACATTGATGATGTTTTTATTAATTGTGGCATTTGAAATGATATGGATACATCCAATGGGACAGATAAAACGGACAGTTGTCCGTCTGTCGGACTATTTTGCTTAGTAATGCAATGGATGCTCGTTTGACTAAAAGATGATCAATTGTTACTGTCACTCTAAATTAGCTGACCAATTCTTCTCAGTTGAATACGAGAAGAGAAGAGAAGAGAAGAGAAAGAAAGAAAGACAGACGTTGGATTGACGCATCTTGGAATATCTTGTCGTCTAGAAATGCTCGTCTACTTAATTTTATTTGGCCTGTTACTTGTTTATCAAGCAGAAAAGAAAGTAAGTGAAAGGTAATTTTAAGAGGTTCGATTGTTTCTTGTTCTTCCTCTTCTCGTGTAGCTTTCTGAACGAGCGAACAAGTGTAATAGAGAAGGAAATGAACCTTGAATGTGTCATCTTCCGCCAGAGAAATGCAGTTATCTTATGTGCAATGCAACCAGGCATAGCTGACACATCTTTTTCTTCTTACGCATTTTTTTTTCCTATTAAGAATTTCTTCCACGACTTGTTACGATTACTAAGCTCATTTGTCGTTAGTAATAAAGCCGACTGGAAACATCTATATTGATTCTAGTCTTCCCTCTCGTTTTCCTTTCTAAATGTATTTGAAGAAAAGCTATAGCTCAACATGAGCCGACTGATAGTAATTGAAAAAAAAAGTTAAATGATGGCGACGACATCAGGGGGTAGTCATGATAATGATGACAAGAAATTGTATCGAGACTCTACTGGGGATTTTCCTGTTTTCTGCCTAATCGTATCCGAAATATCTCTTCACGAAGATTTTCTCGACCTAGTTTTCTGCTTGACTAACCACATCCGCGTCGATCATTTAATGAAGCAGGTGTACGATTTGACAATAGATTTGTATTAAAGCACACGTCCGTGTCAAACAAGATTTACCAAACTGATTTTCTTCCCATCCATATCAACGTAACTCGCGATATATATAAGCTTGAATTCGTTATTGCCTGCTAACGATTCTCTGTTTGACGTAAAGGTCAATACTTAGTGCAAAGAAAAGAGTAGGTTCGATTGACGATTATTAGTGGGCAAACGTGTACTTTTCCTGTCTTGCGTCACTCCCTTTCTTTCACATAAGTAAAAAGCAACGCGAGAAGGAGGATACTTGCTATTCTGTAATTGATTAACCAAAAGAGAAACCGAAAGAGATTTGCCCAGACATTATGTGATGAGATTGAACAAATCTCGCTCGTTGTTTGAAAGAATTTTGTAAAATTAATCAAAACGAATCTCATCATTTCTATCAGACTTAATCTAAGAAAGAAAAAGAAGATTAGACGAAAGAATATTTTCCTTGTTTGCAAGGCTAAACTCTCCATTCTTACAGCTAATTCCCTGTTGAAGAAAAAACAAATCGTCAGTGCTAGAGGGAATATCAGGACGAACTTTGATTTTTCTTTCATGAAATATTTATTTCCGAATGCAATGATTACTTTTTGATTAATTCAAAATTCAACCAGATTCGTGTCTCGAAGCATGTTTATTCTCTTCCAAGCTGAACAAGACAGATTTGGATTCAATCATGAATTGATTTGACACAAATATCCATGTCGAATGATCGATGATAATCAACAATGAGAAATCTGTCAAACAATTTGATTGCTAAAAGGAATACAATATCAATTTCATGCTTTGTGTACACAAACATGTATTGTATCCGATCAAGTGGAGAGAAGAATGATACAAACCAATACTATTCATATGTTTCTAATAAAAAGATACTGCTTCAAGGTGGAGAAGGGCAATCAATAAATGCCCATTAGGTTTCTTAGTGCAATTCAAATGTATTTCGAGTAGATGTTTACACCTTGGATACTCGTTACAAATCAATGGAATGCTTATCATCGTATACATTAGAGAAGTATCTGGAAAGACGCGATTGTTGAGAATTAAAGTTTTCACTATGCTTTTATAAGGAAAGAAAAAATGGAGTGTAAAATGTGAGATTATTCGAAAGAATAGAGTCGAACACTCGAAAAATGAAAAGTGTAGGATAAATATCTTCGAAAAGTTGAAGTAAAGCACAATCTTGAACTATCAATGTCATTGTCAAGTCTTTAATTTTCTTTTATTATCATATTTATACTCGCGATGTCAGATTGGATCATCGAACAAAGATTACTGTCATATCCACTTAAGATTTCAAATAAAACTCAACGAGTCCTTAAGTGACGTATTCTTCTTCATGCGGTTTTACACGTTCGCAAGCATCGAAAAGTTCTGTTTCTATTCTATTGAGATCAGAATCTGAGAAATATTGTTTTCCTATTTCCAACCTACACAATTTGATTCCAAAAACTCTCCAAGGACGAATAATTGAAAATCTAACCTACGAAGAAGAAATGCGAATATTTGATTGCATTCGTCCTCAAGTATGAAACTAAACAAAATCGAAACTATTCAAGTATGTTCATCGAAAATTCATTTTCAATCGCATACTTCTCCAAACATTGCTCTACACACACACACTATTCTTTGATCTATCACGTAGAAAAAGAATGCATATTTCTGTCTAGACATCGTCATGCGCAGTCAGTCAAGCATTGTCCGATTCGAACAGGAAGTTACCTGTTTCGTCTGTAAAGACTTCGACGCGTGTCGACGGGCCTGACGAATCGGTATACGATGAGTTGAAGTAAGGTTGAAGAATAATTTCATATTTGGTGATTGGACGAAGATCTGTTAGAAATATTTGAGTGTCATTTGTTTGTTTTACTATCCAGGATTGATTGGAATGGATTGGACGATATTTTATCGTGTAACCATAAACATTCGCTGGTAAACGCGTTGGTTTCATCCATGATAAACGTATGAAGTCTTTATCGGTAGCTAATATACGAATATCGTTGGAGATTTGAGCGAAATTATTCGTAATAAAAAAGAATATCGAAGAAAGAATGATAATAAAATAGAACATTTTGTCTATCTAAGTCGAATTGAGGACGAAAGAGAAAGAAAAACAGAATGATTTTTTTGTTTTCGGAAAATTGAAAGTGGATTGTTTACAGTACAGTTTGAGTCGAATAAACAAACTGGACAAGAGTGTGAAAGAAGAAAAATGTGAAGAGACCATGATCATGTGCAATCAATTCTTTCTCTCTCAAACACATAGAGAACGGAAGCAGAATGGAAGAAGAACAAGAGCGACCTCGATCATCACCACCATCGCCTGTTCGGCTCGGCGAGAGAGAAATATTGCTTTAACTTAATTGCATTGTCCTCAATACATACTGTAAAATACAATGGATTGAACGATGAATAAAAACGAAGAAGAAGAAGAAGACGAAGAAAAAGAGGAAAGAACAGAAGAACAAAAAATAAAAGAAAATCATTGTCTCGACCGATGGTCGTCTAATTAATTCAACAGAATTTGATTCATCATTAACAGTGACTACATCCGACAAACATCTATCTTCGCACATCAACATACTGATCTATTAATTCAAGATTTCCCGGTACGCGAGACTCTTCATCAGCAAGTTTATCCTTTCCTTAGCAAAATTTGCATGTGACACATTGGATCTAAATGTCACATAAGTAGTTACTTCTTCCATTCTAATCATGCAAAAAAGCTGAGTAGAATGAATTGTCCTTTGTTCTTTTCCTCAGGATCGCCTGCTGACGTTGCATGTGCTCATTAGTCGTTGAACACCTGCTTTAAATGAAACTGTACAACACACACACACAGAGACTAGATGAGACAGAATCATGTTAACTGACATCCACCGTTTGCATTTTTCTATTCCTACTTATTGATTATGAACGTCACTTTTCTCGTTGTTCTCCTCTCGTCCGTTCACAGACATATTTCTATTATGCCCGATTTTTCACAAAAAATTTCAACATTTACACACATTCTTCTTACTATTTGCTATTTCGATAAGAGCGAAGCAAATATTTCTGGAGAACAAGGCCCGCCAACATTACGCTCTTCTGAACAATTGATAAGATACAAAGAAGATCAGCCTTGACATATAATTTCCATTCGAAAAGCAATCGAGTGTCGAGACAAGCAACGCAAATTTACATTTCTTACCATATTTTCTCGCTAAAGTACAATAAATCGCTGATTGTGTCAATGCCATGTGATTATCATTATGATCGATAAACGCCAAATGTAATTTCAAAACATGTTGTTGATTATAATTCAGATCAAAAATCGAATTATTCACTTCGTACTTATATAAATCATAAGGATGTTGTTTATTAATAGACAGAGAGCTTAATGGAATAATTAGTTGTCGTGCTAAGTCATCGTTGGTCTCTGTGACATCGAGATAGTATAAAAGATATTTCTTAATATATAAACGTGATTCATAATCGATCGACCATTGAATAGAAAATAATTGATTTTTCTCGTTCGATGAACATTGAAATTTGTCGATTGTCGACATTACATGATGATTTATTAACGTACGATTTATTATATGAAAATCGCTTAGGATTGAACCTTTTGCATTCACAGTGGCAACACGGACGAAGAGAAAATGTTGTGCGGGAATTGTCACGGATAAAACATCGAATGGATACGTTCGAACAACAACATGAGACCATTGCTCGAAGGGTATCGATGTGTTTATTGTGTAATAAAGGACGTAATACTAAAACGATGAAAGCAAAGGAAATCTGTTTTCCTGTTTCATTCAAGTAGAACATTTCTTTAAGTTGACAATGAAAATCTTCGTGTTCAAGTGTAAATCAACACGATAAAAGAGATCGGTAGTTTTTGTTTCTCGAGATGATTTCCTGAAGAGATGTACCCTTGAGAATTTCGTAACATTGTCGTGTCAACTTTGTTTACTATGCTATTTGTTCGACTAACAATTTTCTACGGATGTTCATGATCAATAGAAAGAAAGATGTTTGATGATGATTTTAGCAAGGAACGTTAATTAAAAAGCATATTTAATGTGCTTTTTCTTTCTTGAAAATAATTTATCAAAGTCACAATCACCGGTCGGTTGCTTTCACAGTCGAGAAGTGAACTTGTCTTGTAAGACGCAGCTCAATGAAGTCTATCCAATTTATGGCAAGTCAGAAAAAAAGTTGAATATCACGACTGTGACAGAAGTTATGCTGCAAACAGTTGACCCTCGTACATATCAGGTACATCGGAAGACAAAATTTTTCTTTTTTTGCTTACGAAATTCGGTCCATTTGTTGAGTTTGGTGGTGTCCAATGAACCACCACAGCTGTTTCATTCCATACATAACCATGGAGATTTTCTACTTTGTCCGGTACAGTTTCGACTGTTTTAACGATGACCGAATTGGAATAAGCCGATGGCGTAGCACCAATGAAACCTTTCAATCGAAATTCATATTTCGCATATGGAGTCAAATCCATCATCTACAAAGGAAATCTTTGAAAATCACCTCAACTCTCTCAACAATCTAATCGTTACTCGAAAGGTAAAACTATAATGAGTCGTTCGTGGGTCTACCAGGACTTGTTTGTAATCTTGAACATTAATAACATCGGATTCGTCGTTTTTATCATCTGGAGAGTTTTGTAAACGACGATAATAAATAATAAAATGATTAAATCGATCGTAACGTCCGTTCGATACTTTCCATGCTAATAAAACACCGCGACTTTGAATATCAGTAGCACTTAACAACGGTTTGGATTGATTATCTAAACGAAATGTTCACAAATGCTTATCTATCGCTCATTCGCACACACCTGGTATGATAACAGTGATAAATATTTTGGTTGATCCATGCTTATTCTTTGCTTCACAAATGTATGTGTTCACCCCATGCATTTCCTGATCAAATCTGAGTAATGCTCGTGTGAAATTTCGTGCAAGAAAATTTGAATCGGATGCTGAGAGAGAAAACAAAAGATACAAATCAAGTCGGATGCTGTTTTCGATCAAAAACTAAAAACCTCGAATCCAAACAACATCGGCTTCCGGATAACCATCAGCAACGCACAGCAAATCCTTTACACCATCATGTTGAAGATCGATTTGAGTATGGTTACGTAAGTTTTCGCGTATGCGAGGATATATCATGCGTTCTAAATACTATTCAAATATAGGCACATGCACAAGAAAAAGGCAAACAAGACGTGCGTATGCATACGAAACTTGCGAATCAGTTTTACCTGAGACAATTAACGAACGTATGCTGGAGTAGGACCGACCGAAAGTGTTGGAAGCAATGCAGACATAATCTCCATCGTCCGAAAAATCAACGGGATAGATGGACAAGGTACCTAAGAGAGAGAGAGAGAGAGAGAGAGAGAGAGAATTGATTGCTTGGTTTGTGCAAAAGGAAGATACTTGTCGGTGGGAGTTTAAAAGCATTCGTTGACTATTTTTAGTTATTAGAGTCGAGATTAATTAGAGGTTGTCGTTTGATTAGTCCTACTTATTTATGCATTTCTTGGTCTTTTTCCTCTTCGCGACACTTTTTAGTTTCATCTCATTAAACAGAAGTCAAAGAACGTCGAAATCAACCGCAGAAATGTTGGTTATCATCAAAGTTGCAAAGCCAGAAAAGACATTGCTTTCTGTTTTATTTCGAAAGAAATTATCAATTTTTTTCCTTGACTAATTTCCACTCGTCGTGCAACCTAGACATGAATTGTCTTCTTTAACATACTCGAATGTTGAGTCTCTTGTATTTTGACTCGTCTGCCGTCGTTTTGAATAAAACGAACAGTCTTCATTCGTTCCGAATGTTCACTATCAGATGTATTCTTCAAATGTAACCATAGAAATTGTATCGGATGAGAGCTGGTTACAGATTGACATTTGGTTTGAAAAAGTCCACCGATTTGAACACGTCTCCCAAACGTGGCCACGTCGTTCTCGTCGAGAATGAATGGAACACGGTTTTGAACAGCTAATTTACCTAATTCCTTCTCATTGTACATGCCCATTGATTCATCATACTCATTCATGTCATTCATCGGTAATTTCACATCAATATAGCCTGATGAGACCATTTCGTATGTGGAATTGATGTTGACATGGCAAGTATACTTTCCAACGAACATATCAGGTTCTTTAACAACGAGAACGCTCGTCGACGTTCCATAATAAAAGTCAAAACAATCCGAATTGTTAAATAAACGTCTACAATGTGTATCAGTATCGTTTGTTTGATCATATAATGATTCATAATGCCAACGGATTCGTTTGAAATTGATGTGATGTGATGATGTTTGACAAATGTGATAAACGAATGCGTTTGGTTTATAAACAACAGTTAAATTGTGTAGATCGCGAAGAAATGATATAGCCAATGTAGTTCCTAAAATAGATAATCGCATCCTCAAGAAAGAAAGAACTTCGAAGTTCCACTTTACCTTGAATGAACATCCACAAGTGGCAAATGAAGCAAACTACAAACATAGCCAATCAATTCAATCAAATGATTGCTAGTTTCTCTCGTTTGAAATTCAAATCATGTAGAAAGTCTACTTCTATTCTTCTCAGCTAAAAAGAAATCAAAGGAGACAAAATCAAGAAGAGAATATGATTCGAATGATGTCATTTAATTGTACTCAACGACAAACGATACAGGAAGTACCATCATATCGGGCCTCTCACATATGCCTATCGGGCAGAACGATTGAAAAAGGAGAGAGGGAGAGAGAGAGAGTATATAGTCTTTGATATAGATTCGATTAGCTCTATCCATCTATCTGACAAACTTTTTTCTTCTTTTCCTTCTTCTTCTTCATCATTTTCTTTCCTTCATAATGTCAACAAAAAAAAAACTAGAGGAAGGAAATGAAATGAATCATTTTCTACTCTATATGCTCACTGACAAACCAGTTCCTTCTCATCATCATTGCATTTTCTATCCTTCAAATGTTCACTAATATATTTATCATTAATTTCGACAGTGTAAAAAAAAAGAAGAACAAGAAAAGACCAAAGTCTCTCAGGACATATTTGT